TTCCAAACTTCATCTGCTTCAACAGTTTCTTCTCCTTGTCACTGAAACGGTTGTCCTGCTCCGCAGATGTCCCCTAAGAATTAAGTGGCAATGTACAAATAAGTACTCACGACACGAGCGAAGTATGAATTGAAGAGCTAGGAAAAGCTACAATAAGGTTTCTGACAATGGTGTGAATAATTACTTCATTAGACTTATCCACTGTATAAGTGTTTTCTATTTAAAACCACGATGTTTCTGAACCTGGTTCTACTTCTATCTTTAGACGACTGGTGGGATGATGAAACTCTACTCAGTTGGGCCCTATCATTGAACCAGTCCTAATATGAGATTAGCTCCACCAGGGCACCCAACAGAATACAATTTTGTCCTCCAACCAATCATGTGAAGATAGTAGAACCAGTTTCTCAACACCGTGGTTTCAAATAAATAAATAAAAAACACTTAGTGGTTAAGTCCAACAGAATAACTATACACCTCAGAAATAGATAATTTATTCCCTCTTGACTAAACATCTGGTGCATGGTTCCAATTTAATTATATCAATAATGTCCAAATTAGCGTTCAGTGGCCACAACTAGTCAGTATCTGACAATGTTCTGGGCAATTATGCCACGTGGACTACTCGCAGGTAGATCCCAACAATTCGGAGAAACATACTGCCTACATTTTCTGCCCTGCAGATGAAGAGGGTATATTTCTCCATTAAACATGCTCATCATTCTTAGAGCAGACATGAACACAAATGTACACACAATCAATGTGGGTATGTTGGCATTCTTTACAAGAATTATAATAAAAAAATTATCCCTCTGCTTAATTAAGCACCAGAGCTGACAAGACACATGGAGGGTGAAGGCGTAGTGCCACACTCTAATGAGAATAGACAGAGAAAAGTGGAGAACAATGAAAATACTTGCTGGCAATATGTGAATTCGAAACATCAATGAAAACAGTTGAATCTGTTTTGCAGATATAATGTTTTAATAGCATACTTTTAAGATACAGTGAATGCATAAAGTAGAAGAAATGAGAAAGAATACGACCATGTGAAACAATGCCATCTTCACATCAAACATTTGCTATACTATTAATTCACTGGTACCAGGGTAAAGGGATATAAATCCAAATATTACAATCAAATTTTGAATGCTACTTTACACCCTACAGGTCATGTTACCTGTAATTTTAGAAAACTATCACTTCACCCTTTAAGTTCATGTGTAAATTCTACGATTACATTTACATACTTTTTTTTAAAAACTCAATAAACCTGATTTGTGGGAACTTTCCAAAAACTGTTTCCCCATTCATGAATATTTAGAACTTTTAACCCTTTAACCTGACATTCTAAAATTTCTCAAGTGACGTGAAAAAGAACCTTCCATAAAACTTTTTATTTGAACTTGGATCTGACCAGATCAAACCAAAAAGAGCACAACCCATCTGAAACAAACAAAATACACTAAATGCTATTTGCAAACTTTAAGAATGTAGTGGTCATTGTTGGGTTTCCATAAAGCAGCAAAATTCAAATACAAACAAAATTCTTTGATTAAATAGCTGTGTTAATTTTCGGTAAATTTACCAAAAAATCAACGACTGCAATTTTGGTTCACATTGGGGGCGATGAGAACAATGTAAACTATTTCCAGGTAGTCTTATCACCAACTAAATGCAGAAATAAAGCCCCAGTCAAAGAAATGGATTCACAGAAAGCGACAAAATGCCATCACCACAGATTTTACACAAACAAGCTGCTGAAAAGAGGATTAAAATATGAGATTATATTATTTTCTTTTTCACTAAAAAAAAAAGAATCGGAAAAGTGTAAATAGCACCAGAAAAACATTTTCTCTTATGAATTACCACAGAAGTAGAGTGCATATTACTTATATAACACAACAGAACTACCAAATTCCAAGACAAACTGTATGTGCTCAAATGCCAAAAATATGTTAATAAAGCTGCACTTATGTGGCCTATGATGTGACTTAACGATGATTATTAAACTCGCAGCAAAAGCGAGCTATGAAAAAGGACTATGAGTATGCTATCTACCCAAATAATTACTGCCAATTACTTCACCTCCATTGTGTTCTGTTCATGTACATCTTTAACGATTATTGATGAAGTGTTAAGTCTGCAACTGTAACACATATGCCAGTTAATTTCCAAATTGATATATGCTTCAAAAAACCAACTAATAAACGTGACCTTATATCAGTACAGAGCATGTCTACCATGTGATTCACAACTATGCAGTGGCTTTAAATAAAATAAAGCTCCCAAGGTCACCAAGAAAATTCTTCTTGAGAAACAAATACTCACTCATATAGTCAAAAAATGTATGATTTGAAGTTACTAGTTTTATGGCTTTAAGAAATATATGGGTGAAGAATGGATGTTTTTGCTAGCTATATATATATATATATATATATTGACTGTACGAGTTGTATATTTGCCTGACTATCGCTACTAAATCTTATTTTTAGTCATAAGGAACATTCCAATATCAGACACCAGATTAACTTTTCTAATACCTGTTCAATTTTTTCTTGCATACTAAATATTTTAATGGTGTCATATTGATCAAACCACACTCAAGCAATGACACATCTAATTTGTATTCCTGAGGTACCCAATTCAAATCTTAACAAGTCTTTCTGTCTTATACTGAAAGATGTTCCTCATGGTCTTCCCCAGTCCCTCCTGATAATTCTAGAATATTATCAAAATGGCCATAAACATTTTGTTGCCAGATCTTTCTAGTTCACAGTAAGTTCAAATTGTTGGCCACCAAATTCAAGGCACTTATTGACAGAACACAACAGCTACTTGCACCTGCCGCAACATGATCACAGTGATCTTATCGCACACAGACCACATCGTGTTCTGCAATTCCTAAAAATTTCTTGGTCGATCAGTGTAAACAACAGACTTCAAGTAGCCCCAGATGAACAATCTAGACACATAATATCCAGTGACTGCGGTTGGCACTTTTTTATTCCTATTATACGATGTGACTTCTGACCCACATGTATAAAAATTGTTTAATTTTATTCAATGCTAAATAAGCCCTGCAGATCATATTTTGAAAAGTCAATATATTAGTTTTAATTTACAGCTTTTCTTCTATGTATTATAAACCTACATTAGCTCCATTCCATCTTCAAACATGTTATTAGCCAAAATGGTACAGACATGAAACATGTACAAAATTAAACAAATGCATATTATGCAATGTACCATAGTTTAACCCATTACAATAAAATTTTAAAATGGTCTCCTGTTGGCCAAAGTGTGGTATAAAAGATAAAACTGCCCCTGTACTGAATCACCATGTCATGTAGACGTATTTGTGTGCTTTTAATTAAGCATGTGCCATTAAGACATTCACATGCTTTTATTTAAGCATACTCCATTAAAATGTGTGTGGAAGTGGAGGTAGTAAAGTACATTCTACAAAGATACATTACACTTTCACAACATGCAGAACTGGCAGAAAATCATGCACTACACAAAGATAATTAACTAAATGCAAAAAGGAATGCTGAAGAGCAACCAAGAGAGAACGTGAGTGATGGCCTGGGTGTTATTTGAAAGGCTCTCACAAAATAACATCCAAATAAACAAAATGTTCCCTTATTTTGTAAACTTGTGTCAACTTTAGAGGGCTACATCAATGACTTTATTTAGTGGTCAAAGATGAACTACACATCTGGACACTTGCTCATTTTTTTATATCACATCATCACATTCAGTACACCTTATTCTAAAATCTCTTCTACCTGCATAAAGACTTCCACAACAAATCGCATATACCATAATAAAACAGAAGGCTGTCTTGGAATCTGGCAGTGTACTTAACTAGTATTCTGCTAATGTATCGGTAACTGAAGGCACTTCCAGGGCATACTTTCCTTCATTTTACTCCTATTCTTATGAAAACTGATCATTTACAATGTTAATAATTAGGATATTAAGGACCCAAACTTCCGATATGTACCATTATATCTGAGTTATAGTAAACTTATTTGCATACTGAAATTCTAAAAACTAACAGGTGAGCGACTGTTCTGTTATTCACTTAAAACAAGCTACAGCAAGTCATATCAGTTTAGTTCTAGAAATAAAAAAATTAACTTACAGTATACATCATGGTTAGACCGTGTGTCGTACTCTTCCTGTTTCCTTAAATCTGAAAGCCTTAATTTTGGCGTAAGAAGCGCAAATAAACTTCCAAAATGTCTGCTTATGTGCAAAGTAATTTGAGCGTGCTTCTCATACCACTTTATTAGCAATTTACCTAAACCAGAACAACGCGTCGTTGTACTATCGTGGTACCGCAAAACCTGTCTGCTCTAGAATGCGGTGGGTCCGTGAGAGATTCGAGAACGGCCTAAACACGAATAATTCTGCTATTATCATTCGCACTTTACATATATCTACGTTAGACTAGTTTACGGTTATTTAACTACTATAGAGAATAAACATTACCCGAAAAAAGCCTGCATCTGTCATTTTGTAGCGGATTTAATATACCAATTTTTATTTCACTACCATGCTAATAAAGATGGCGTTGATTTTAGTGCAGAAATAGCGCCTTCTGGAAATATAGTTATCGAAACTAATATCATTTCGATTATAATCGATTATATTACAAATTTATAAGCTATTAGCTTAATATATTAATAACTTGCGACCACATCAGGCCTAAGTGAGCTCAAAATAAAATTACTATTTGCACAAAAATCTCAATATGTTGCATTTTAAGTTCAAGTAACGACAGGAAGTAAACCTCTTCAGTAAAGCATCATCGTAGTAGGCCATGGACTCCGATGTCTATAAACAATGGTTTTGTCTTCCGGGCTCTGACGCCGTGTGGACGTCTCCCGTTGCGCAAAATCTAAACCTTACATCTCAAGAACGTAATCTTCGACATGCTGGGAATCATGCATACACGCAATCATAGATGTGATTGTACCTTCGTTTATAGAAGGGTGGAGAAAGAAGATACAACCATAATAATTTTTGTAAGTTAAATCACATGTGCCACCAATCACAAAAACCTAGGATACATGATTCCTGCACAGATATACAAACAGGAAAGTTTCACATCTCTCTTTTAAATTGCTTTGCCACTTCGTACCCAAAGCAATGAAACCTGTCAAAATAAAAAGATTTCGACATCAGGTGGCAATATTCTTACATTACAATTAGCAATGTCTGGCCTAGAGAAGTTTCACAACTCTCTTGTGAAATGCTTTGCCACTTCGTACCCAAAGCACTTCAACCTGTGAAAATAAAAAGGCCTGAACATAAGGTGGCAACATTCTTACATTACAATTAGCAATGTCTAGCCTAGACAAGTTTCATATCTTTCTTCTGAAATGCTTTGCCATTTCGTTCCCAAAGCACATAAATCTCTGAAAATAAAAAGACCTCGAGATCCGGTGGCGACATTCTTACATTGCAATTAGCAGTCTGGCCTACAGAAATTTCACATCTCTTCTGAAATACTTTGCCATTTCGTACCCAGAGCACTTCAACTTGTGAAAATAAAAATGTCTCGACATCCTGTGGCACCATGCAGTTACAATTAGCAATGTCTGGCCTGCAATACCATCCTGCTACGTATGGTCATCCCATCTTTTTTTTACCTTAAGATATCGTGCTTTTGCCTTTTCAGTTTTCTATTTGAATTCACACTATAGATTATGTACAGAAAAAATACATGAAACATGGCAACATTTGCAAGCAAAACAACTCAGGCATCCAAAATAAACTCTGATTAAAAATCTAAAGCCAATACATTTTGAGGCCATTGTGTGTATAATCATAAGAAAACCTTTCTGATGCAATATAGGCAACATACCTGTACCGAAACACCTTAATCAAAAACTTACCATTCACTTTGTTGGCTTGTGAATTTTCCTACAATGCATTGTTGGAGCAGGGTACATGTCACTTTATTTAAATTTTCCTTTTCAATCACTTGCTACTCTAACACATCAGTTGTCATTATATACATCTTAGTTTCCAATGTGCAATAACATTTCCTTAGTAAAAGAACCTAATTATTGGTATCAACTCTAAACACAAAACTCAAAAGCTGTCATGTGATTGAACAAAATTCAATCAGTATGCAAGATATCAATTCTTTTAACAAAATACACTACTTACTATGTATAAAAACTCTTCATATTATCTGGTAATGATTTATAAATTTGCACCATAATAATGTACACCTTCAGTTCCTGGGAATCATATGTTTTACGAACTTTTTATCACTTGTAAGATTTGAGGTTTTCACAGCGCTGAGTATGAAGATTTCTGTCTTCTGGGTTGTTGCACTGTGTAGTCTGGTTGATGTTAACCAACGTTTCAGAGGTCATACTGCCTCCGTCATCAGGGCGATGAATATACCAATTGGTTAACATCGACCACACTACACAGCGCAACAACCCAGAAGACAGAAATCTTTTATCGCTTAGTAACTTACCCACACTGTTTTCAGAGTATTCTAATAGAGGATTAAGGTCAAGGTAAGTACTAAGCTTACAATTTTTGCACTCCATGCAGTTTACACTTCCCACAATTCACACCATTTATCAATCTCCAGAAAAGTGTAAATACCAAATTACACAGCATATCAAACAATTCTGAGGTGTTTACATTTATTTAAAACATGGAGGAACTTTATACTGTGCATAAAATATCTACTCCTAGGATAAATAATATAAACACATTGAAACCAAATTTTATTCTCACATTAAGTGACACAATGTTTAAACAATGTCTTATGCAGAAGCAGCCTTTGCAGCAAGCCGTTTGTCTCTCTCTTCTGCAATACTGAGCTTCACTCCCTTTCCACGTGGCAGCGACACATATGGCTTGGTTGCTTTGCCAATAATGAATACATTGTTTAACCTAGCAACAAAGAAAGAATTCAATTTAAAAAGGAATAAATCAGGCATCGGCTGAAAGTGTCCCAACATTTCAGAAATCATTGCTGTCCCTTTCATCTGATTATGGAGACGGCAAGAAACTCTGCCACAAATCTTGTTCCCATTAATTCTATAATACATCTTCATCACGTCACTCGATGGACTGTTCTTTACCACATTTCAGTATAAATTCACTTCTCCCACATCAGACCCCATATAACTGCATTTTCAACATGTATGCTGTAAAGCAGTGGTCCCCAACACGGTGCCTGCGTTGTTACGGAAAGAGATTATACTGAATAATGAAGGCCATTCAACCATGAACATCATAAAATCAAAGCGCAGATCTTGACTTACTGACGTCCATCTTGACGATCAAGCAGCAACATCATCCTACACCCCCAAAGTTGAAAAAGTGGCCGATGAAATGCAGCGCCAAACATCACACGAACTTCCCACTTGAGTAATAATAATTGTACTTATAAAACTACATATTTTTGATTGCGTGGTTTCTTGTATCATTAAACGTCGTGTTGTTTTGTGTATTTTTTGGTGTCCATATCTTATTTGTCCAGAGAAAAAAAAAATTGGATTTGTTAATTGGTTGGTGCCCGCCACGATCTCATAAACTCTCAAATGTGCCCGTAGGCACAAAAAGGTTGGGGACCACTGCTGTAAAGCATGCACAAACAGACGAGTCAGCCAACATGACTGAAGTCAAATGATACACAAAGAAAAATTGTATTCAACTTGGGTAATGCTGGTAAGACATTTGTATAGCCAAATCAGCGACCATTAGATGAAGATTATTTTTGGCCTCGTTTTGACTGTACCAACTATGAAAACGTTAAAGTACAGCTTCGATCAGGCCGACACACTCATCTTAATTTTACTTAACACTGCACTGAGTTTGCTTGCATTTTATAAGAAAACTATTACGCATACTTAATTTAAGGAACGCCTGTTATGACTCCTGGGATTCTGTGGGCATATCCCTTACCTTGTGGCAAATGTGTGTCCTTGAGAATCTTTCACATGGACTATGTCAAAGGATCCTGGATGACGCTCCCTGTTGACCACTGTGCCCACACGTCCCAAGTTACGCCCTCCAGTAATCATACATAGATTACCTATAACCAAGGAAACAATTGGAGAAATATAAAATGAATGCCAGGTACCCATAAACAATAAAATCTAGAAAGCTCAGATGAATTTTGGTGTGCAATGCTAATTCAAGACGACCATTATCACGAAGGTCTGATTACAAGCAACTGCAGAACAGGGAAACAATTTCCACAGACCAATTCATTTATAAAATCACGATCTTTCTGTTAATTTACAGTTAATTATTTATTTATGAACAATGTGTCATACATATCAGTCTACTGCTCCATCAAGAATCGCATAAACTCAGACACAGAACAAAATGAGTTAAAATGGTCAATGTGGACTCTCTACACCAAATACTGTTTATTCCAAGTGTAGTTAACAAAACAGGAAATAAAATTGTTGTATTTGGTCAAGTTTACGTACTAGCACTGAATGAAGACACTCGGTAATGTTACTAATGGCTCTCACAATTCATGTTGAATTTTAGTCAGGATATATTGATGATAATATTAATATAGTGTGTCCTTGCTTTGCTTACCAGAATCAAATTTGATGCTGTCCATTATTTTTGATGTGGCAATATCAAGCTGGACTGTGTCATTCACCTTGATAAGAGGATCTGGGTAGCGGATGGTTCTGCCATCGTGCGTCACCAAGAAAGGTATTCCCTTCAGACCAGTCTGTACCCTTTTCACTTTGCAAAGCTTGTACTGCAATGACATCACCATAAAACTTCAGTTTGCGCTAAAACTACGAATGTTTTATTAATCCACACAAGATATTACTCATTTCATAATTTTGTGACTGACTGACTCTGTACACCCCAATACACATTACTTAACTCCACAAAACTAGTTTTATATATTGTGTATGCTACCTGAAGCAAAATCATAACTGTATTTATCTGCCTCAACCACAAACACGATCATTACATTTTTCTTATTATACTGTTATATTTTCCTTCCATGAAACAAAATAAGTGTAACACTTCCTCAGATGAGTAAAGACTAAATCACGCTTTAATCAGTTACATAGTGCCTTAAGATTATTTTATCATCAAGGGAAGTAAATACATTACACCAAAAACATAGTTTAATACCACAAAAGATCATAATATTGTGGTTCAAACAACATAAAGTCATGTCCAAACAAGTACTGAAATTGACATTGCAAGTTGTCTAATGTTCAACTACATCCAAGACAGAAAATATTTAAAACCAATAAAAAACAAATCGCCCTAGGTGGACTAGTGGTTAGCGTGCTCGCAACTGGACCCCAAGATTCGAGGGTTCAATCCCGGCCAAGGTCGATAAATTTTAAAGGGTGATAAAAATCAGTAGCACAACTTAATTCGGAGGGGAAGCAAAGCCGGTGATCTCATGTCATAGATTTACGGCATCTAAAAGAAACTTACGAGCATGATACGAGATGTTTTGTAAGCAAAATTCAGCAGCCATTTCTCACCCAAGTCTCCTGATCAACTGCTAGATGGCTCTGGCTGTTAAATCAGGATTGAGTAGAAATTGTGCAGTCAGTGAGCTGGCCACTCACTACTCATAAATGCACAATTCAATACCAAGAACCCTCTGACAAAGGTGGTGGCAAAAACCCACAACTGGATTGTAGAGCCAAGAAACATAAAACACAAGAGTGAAAAGATACTTCCTTACAGTACCTATCAGTAGTGCCTAAAAAAATAAAGCCCACTTTTGTGTTTATTACCCACTTACTTAAAAATACACAATACTACAAAAATTAAGAACAAAACCTGCATTAACTATGGCTTGCCTTTGCTTCTTCAGATGTTATTCTGTGAATGGTAAATCGTCCCTTAACATCATAGATCAACCTGAAAAATTCTCCAGTTTTCTCAATTGTCACAACATCTGCAAAATGATAACACAAGACAAACATGTAATTTTGTCACAAGTTCACCTTCAATGCCATCACAATATTGCCTACGACATCACTTTCACCACATAACGAAACAAACCTTCAACATGTCTTTGAAGACCACTAAAATAAGTACATTCACTTATATGTTGCAATATGAATACAATCACATCGCTAACACCAAAATTGCTGCTAATAAAACAATACTGTACAACTCTCTGCATAATCACAATTTACCAATACTTCTTTGCACAGCAGATAAAACACATCTTCACAAACATGCGTCAAATATTACGTTTTATATTACTACATTTGCATGGTATACATACCCATAAATCCAGCTGGATAGTTGGGATCAGTACGAACTTTCCCGTCAACTTTAATAAGACGTTGCATGACGATCTTCTTAACTTCGGCATTGGTAAGGGCATATTTGAGTCTGTTGCGGAGGAAAATAACAAGGGGAAGGGACTCCCTTAGTTTGTGTGGTCCTGTGCTTGGTCGTGGTGCATACACTCCACCAAGCTTGTCCAACATCCATGCCTTTGGAGCATTCAATCGTTTCAAGTGTTTCTTTGGACCACGTGCCTATAACAAACGACAATGAATGTACAAACCCAGCAACATGACCTTACAAGTTCCAAAATCTAAATACTTCAAACAAAAGCTAAAACCATAGTTGTACCCGAAGTTAGATGCATCTTCTGTTGTACCATAACAATTAAAATAGATAGCATAATTAAACACCTCTACCGCCAAATAAACCTAACAGACAAATGTTCACTCCAGATCAATGGCGACTGCACTTAATAAAATACAAACATTCTCACTAAAATATCATAAAATGCATAGACTGAAAGTAGAATTCAATGATGTATACGAGAAACATTTCAATGAACAAAGGAATAGTGGATGACTTCAGATAACACAATCACAAAAATTCACCTACCATGTTGGCGTTTTAACCGGAAAGAGAAATGTGTTCACAGTCTTCAATGCCCTCTAGCACAGTTTGTTGTAAATGACTTTATTTCGATAGATCGTTCAGGCATACAAATACAAGAATTCTGAAAATATAATTCAATAACATATTTTAGATTAATTTAATTCATAAACATTAAGTTTAAGTTTCAAATAGACACTCTTTAATATGCCTGCATAGTTTCGTAATTACTTCTACACACCATGTCCATTAAATTTGAAAGAGTTTATCATTACATTTAATTCTTTAAGTTGGTTATTTGCAAAAGGTCAAAACAACGTCAATATCGATATCGCTTCACATTGTATCGATAATATCGCCAAAAGTATGGCGACATGGTCAGATGTGAAATATCAACTAGGAAACGAAGAAGGGCGTAATGACACGTCCCTTGATAATATAATACAACAATGTATGGAAGATAGTTTTGATGTACCATCATTCGGAAGAGTATTTGAACAATTGCCAGTGTATACAACTTCTAGATTGTGCGATGAAAACAATCCTGAATCATCCAGTTACATCGGAAAACTTGAAGGGCACGATGAAAATGCAGGGTAAAGCTACAGAAAGTAATGGAAATTGTTGTCTCCGTTCGATACACGGTGAAAAATGTTCTGTTTGCCTTGAAGTGTATTTAAATTTAAGAATATTTGTTGACCTAACCTTAATCGTAAATTTCTTTTAAAATATACGTGTTTGTTTTATCCAGGCACGCTCCTTTAATAAAGGTTAATTAAAAATATATATGAATAACAGTCATTTCAGTATAGTTACTCTGTTTTCCTGCTGTGTTTTAGGTATATTCATCATACAATTAGTTCAGATCAGATTTATATGCATATCAACCCTGGTAATTCAGGATCTATGCCAGAAAATCCATCTCATGCTACAATCACAATTGAAGCAACTGATCCAACCACAAATAAGAAGGAAATTAAAAGGTACAGATGTGAATATGATGGTTGCAGTCGCACCTACAGTACAGTGGGGAATTTACGGACACACATGAAGACACACAAGGGTATGTGTCACATGTATTTTAATCATTTCATCTATTCTGTATATCTGAAGATGATAATAGTTTCATTATTGTGTGAGTGAGATAGTTTTCTTCTACTCCTCTCAGTGTCAAGAGACTCCATGTTACTAAAGCACAGGACCTCACATCCTCACTATATTATGTAACATTGATTTCTGATGACCACATGGTTATTTTAAAATTCTTGGCTTATTATTGTGTAGTAATGTCATTTGACATAAAACGTTGCATATTTTTTTTGCTAATACTTGCAGGTGAATTCAGGTTTAGATGTTCTGAACCAAGTTGTGGAAAAGCTTTTCTTACATCGTACAGTTTAAAAATACATATACGAGTCCACACGAAGGTGAAACCATTTGAATGCCACCATGAAGGGTGTGAAAAGGCTTTTAATACACTTTACAGGTAAGAATTTCTCTTTTTGATAGTATGAATTGTTTGACTGAACCAGTGTTTTTCACATCTTTCCAGAGGTTTGCTTCTAGTTTCATATTTAGTGGTCTGTTCATTTATATATGTAATTCATTTTAATTTATTCACTTCTAAATTAGTTAATGCATTTCAAGTCCCAATCTTACAGTTTTTTATTGTAATTATTCTTACTTTCCTATTAATCGTTTTATTTATGTCTTTATTTCCTGGTTAGTGTTGTCATGAGCAAGAAACAAATCTCTGAAACACTGGTCATATCTACCAGACTACGTGTGGCACTCGTGGTTGATATGAGAAATGCGTACAAAATTTTGGTCAGAAAGCTTAAAAGGAAGTGAACAATCACAATGTTTCATAGGACTTGGCAGTCACCAGTGGCATGATCTTCATATGGAGTTTTATTAAAGTTTATCAGTCATTAAAAATTATTAGAACGGAACATGTGTCAGGTGCTCATGTAAGCTTATATTTCCCATTTTGAAAATAAAACTATGCTGGAAAATATCATCGTTATGCTCTGCGCAATGTTTTAGATTACGAGCACATCAGCGTCTACACAATGGCAACACATTTAACTGTGAAACACAGGGCTGTGTGAAATTCTTTACAACTCTCAGTGATCTAAAGAAGCATGTGAGAACTCATACCCAGGAGAGGCCTTACAAGTAAGTGTTCATCAGATTGTTACACGCAGACACACAGAGTGGTAAATTATGAAGGTTATGTTTATGAAATCTGAGATTTATAATGACAAATGTTAGTTTCCCCCTTCCACCCCATTGATGTCAACATGTTGACTGACTAAAAGTTTATCATTTTCCGTACACCGACAGATGCCAAGAGGAAGGCTGCGGAAAGGCATTCACAGCAAGTCATCACCTCAAGACACACAGTCGTACCCACACGGGTGAACGCCCTTATCCTTGTTCTCACTCAGACTGTGAACGAGCATTTGCAACTTCAAATAGTCTGAAGTCGCATTCCAAGCTTCATGAATCTGGTGACAACAATGAAGAAGTAAGTGTTATAAACATCATAACAGTGGGTACTTGTTGGTTATCGGGACACAAAACGGGGGAGTCAAATGTCTGGACTTGGGTTGGACGGAAAACTTTGTTCATCCGGTGCACACACCCAAACAATAGAGAGACTATGGGGAACAACTAAATGGCGGAATAAAAAACAGAGGCACGGCCCGACATCATCTGGATTCATATTTAGCTGAGTTCATGTGGCGGCATACAAATGATAACGGCGATATTTTTAAAATGATTCTAAAATCTATAAGCGAATTTTGGCCTCTGGAGGCAGGTTGTAACAACAATTAACATCTCATGCATATCCAAATAAAATATAATAATTTGTCATTTATTGAAATAAAATATAATAATATATTATATAATATAATAATATATATGTCATTTAAACACACATTAACCTAACCTAACCTATTTTTAAAGTGAGCGGGTACCTAACAGCGATATAGGTATGGTTACTTGTAATGGTCAAATAGTATCTGCAGATGTAGACCATAGGGGGGGTTGAAAAAAATACAAATTAACATTTTATTACCTTCATTAGGCTGCAGATGCAGAAACATCTGATGGAGGAGGAGATGAAAATGAAGATGCTGACGATCCACTCGAAAAAGACGATCCTCTTGTTGAAGGTGACCCCTTAGGAGATAATGAAGTTATGACGAATGAACCTAACACAAGTAAATGTAATAATGTGAATATAACAGATTCAGGACCTATGACTACAATACCAGGAGACGATAACATACAAGGTAAATCTATTTTATACATTACAACAGAACGTCTCAACAGGAGATGGCTCTTGTATGTATGTTTAACTCAAGCATTAACTAGTTCCATTCACATAAGATATTTTTCGTGGTGTATTGATTATGCAGTGCGATTGCTGCATTAATTCAGGTTGGTACCTGATGGACCATAATTGTCTTCATCGATTTCTTGTGACTTTGTTCGTGATCATTCTCACAGCTCATTGTACACAGATTAAATTTATGAGATTTGAAGCTTTCTCAGCAGTTAAATGCAGTGAAGTCTCAAGTCTTCTGGGGAAATCAGCCACATCAGTATGTAGTGAATTGCCAACATTTCAGAGAATCTGCCTCCATTAAAAGTGACTGATGTGATGGGTGACATTGTACATACATACTCACACACACACGTCATTAGCTCGTGCAGTCTCATTTCCTTCTTTGGAAACATGCCAGTGTAAGAACAGTGGGTAGAGTCATGTGCGTACTCACTGTACTTAAGCCACGGGCATTATTGCTTAAACTCCAAAAAATATTTTTAAAGTATGTTGTTTACTGTTCTCATATTTGCCCATTTGTGGACAAGAAGACTACACTACACTAGCAACACGCACACGTGCACGTGCAAAAGACAGCTACATCACCTCTCATATCAGTCCTGAATGAAGGAGGTAGAGGCAGTGTCCAAAATGTTCAAAACGTGCTCCCTGCTTATGTGGCTGATTTCCTGGGAAGTCTTCTTTAATTAACTTCGCTTTTGATACAGCACACTTGAATAACATACGTATGGATTAGGAAGGTTGCCATGTTGGATAACATTTTAGAAAACATTGACGTCACTAGTTTAACCTCATTTTTTTGTATATTCAACAGCATTTTTCATCCCATTTACTGAAATCAGTCTACATGCGACACACGAAGAAAATGCTGATTTAATGGAAGTTGAAGGTTTATTAACAAGTGTCCCACCAATGGTAAATGGCAGCAACCCCCAGTCAAGTCCTGCGGGGGTTAGTCTTTCCACGGCCGTGGCACAAACATTTATACCCCGCTCTTCAGCCGAGACTGTGCCGGGGCCGTCGGTAAACACTGCACTGAGCGATCCACAGATGTCTGACATTTCATACCTGACACCAACACCCACTTTGCAGGAAGTACTTAAGAATAATAAAGACATTACTAACAGCATAGTAATTAGTACTTCAGTCCTTTGTTCCGGTGATGAAGGAAAGCAGGCTCTGCAGATGGCACCAGCAGAAGCAGGTGAAAGCACTGCTCCGGATTCCACGGTCATTTCCAATATCATTGATTCCAGCCAAATGGTTACAAATGATGAACTGTTACCATCCTCACCTGCTACTTCTTTTGAAATCTTTGATGACCCTGATATAAGAGGCCTTGAGTCTGGAAAACAAGTAACAGATATTTTAAGGTTGCTTTCTGCTAGTGGTCAGATTCAGGGTATACAGTTAACAGCATCAGTGTCTAATGAAACAAATCCATCTTCAAGCAATGTTTTTGAAGCTTCTGGTGTTAGGGCTGCCGAGATTTTAAGTTTTCTGTCTGCATCGGGACAAATACAAGATATTCAGCTTGCGTCATCTGTAGAAATAGGAAATGTATCGGAAACTGGCAGTAAAACATCTGGAAACATTTTGTATCTTACATCTCCATCTTTGAGTAACATGAACCTTCCAAATGATCTCACATCTTTCATGAATTCGTCCGCTGTAGATCCTAACCAAGTTGAAAACACACCGGATGTTATTGAAATGAAAAATTCAACAATTGTTTTGCATGTTCAAGATGCTCCTGTTGTTCTTGATCCAGATAAAGATCAAGCATCTTTGAACAATACAGTTGATACAGTATCTCCATCACACTCAGTACCTTCAGTAATCACTGCAGATTCTTCTAAATCATCTTGGGTTAATGGTATAGACCCTTCTCCGTCTAGTAACTGTGCGGGTGGAGCACCTCCATTAGGTAAAGATTATGAAGAAAATAATTGGTCTTCATCTCCTCATAATAACCCTACAATGCACGAGTCTGATTTGAATCTAGTCACGCCTACTAGTCAGTTTCTTTACGCTGTGTCCAGTGCAAAAGATCCTCAAAATTATGAAAAAGGAGGAGAATTGAGGGGTGTTTTAAAAGATATCGCAAAAGATGCAGATATTTGTAAGTGTAGTCCATGTAGATGTGATCCATCTCAGCAAGAATGCCAAACGTGTAATGCTGAAACAGGAACTGAAAATGTGTTACATATTCCAGAAGTGTCATTCAATAACATTACTACTGAAAAAAGAAAGAAAAATGTTTCAAATAAGAAATTAGGAGCATTCAAAGTTAACACAGAGTCCTCTGGTAATGAAGTAAGTAGAACTGCAGAAATTAGAAATCAGTGCAGCGACAGTATCAGTTTATGTGATCATGAAAATATGTTAACAAGTGGTGGTGTTGATGAGCCAATTGCTCATCAGATTGTGGGTGTAGAAGTTGGATCGTCGCATTACGCCACGGACAGCTCGATTCAGACCGCAGATAATATCGCATTAACAGAGTCGACCGGATCTGCACAAAGTAACCATTCACATTATTCAAACAATTTGGACAATTGGCAAAATGCGGGATGCAATGTAGATACTCTTATAGTTCCACACATTCTTCCATCAGACGAGACGCAGAATCACTGTGAATCCCACAACTCGCAAAATAACAACACAGAAATGAATAGCAGTAGATTATCTGGCAGTTGTGAGTGTTGTGGCAAGAATGCCAAAGAAAAGACCTCACATTGTGATGCAGAGAGCAATAACAATGGAACGAACAGCAGAGAGCCATGTTGTGTAGTTGTGTGCCTTAAAACTTTGGAACAGCTCAGAAGGTTAATAGACAAAGGTTGCTGTTCTGGTGCTGAAAATTCCCTACGAGCTTTAGCTTTACAGGTTTCATCAGTAAAGTCTTCTTGCTGCTCTGGGAAACATAAATGAATATAAGAATGATACTGAAGCTCAAACTGAGACACTTAATATGTACAGATTATTCAATCTTACATTTTTAAACTTGGAAAGCAGTATTTATATATTTAAAAGTCCCTTCCTGTTCACATCATCTGTCTCTCACATTTATAATGTTGTTGCCAGGGCATGACAATTTGTATTCATTTTTCAACTCATTAGCTGAGTTTGACAGATACCACTTTTATACAATTACTGACATTAAATTGTTTCATCGCCTGTTTGTATACAATTCGAATAAAATTGTTGTTCTAACCTCCAAAAACACATATTTGTAATGTAAAATGGTTTCTGTCTTAAACCTGCATTATCATTGCCTGATTGTGGAATACAGAAATATTCAAGACAGTGGCTCATTAAAAAGTGTCACTGCATTCAGTATTCCTCCAGTCTTTAAGGATTTTTCTACAAGTCTCCTTAAGCGTATCCTCTCTATTTGATCTAATCCGAAAGCTTGTACGTATTCAATCTGTTCTTATGACCATAAAATGTTGGTGGCTGATCCAGTTATTTTATGAGTGCAATCTTCACACATTTTATAAACCAACGCAATTAAAATTATTGAATAGTGAAGATTGATCATTGATTGCTCAAGGTTGATGTTATGAGAACTGACTGTTGGGACAATGCATTGAATGGTCTTTACCAGTTTTTAAAATATCATCTCTGGGTGAATACAGATTCTGTTTTCTGCTGCATCTTTCATTACAATAGATTTGTTGACAAAATTAAAAGAAAAAATTCACTATGTATGTGAAACTGTTTGTTACCATGAAAGTAAACAACAGTACAAAGTAAGTCTCAGTGTTATTTTTGGTGTGTAAATGTGCTTTACTGCATTAACACAGATAGTACCTATAATTTCATACTCTTGGTGTGATATGTAGCTAGAGGTGCATATTGATGTATTATCGTGCACCAGCGATGATTTTAAGCATAAAAATAATGTTGGATGACCTGAAAATGGAAGTAATATTTCAAATGCTAGTCATGTAGCAATATTGTTAATCTGAGCTGTAATTACATGTAATGGTAAATCAAAGGCTAAATGAGTTTATACCAATTTTTCTCTGTATGAAAAAAATCACCTTTCTAGTGGTAGAAAACAAAGTTTTGTTTTTGTCAACATATAATACAGTGGACCATCAATGGCACCAGGTGATTTTTTCTCTCCCACCTACCATAGTTGATTGTTAAAGCAGGTGGTACATATAGTTACCAGTGGATTTTTAAGGGTCATTTAAATTTTGAAATAACAGTTTTTATTTTCAAATGATATTTTGGGATTATGAACTTTTGATGACTGTCTGTTGGAGAATGGAATGTTACACAATCCAAGACTGCAGATTTTATCAAGAACCACTTACATTTACATAATAGGACTGTAATTTTTTTGTTCACAAAGTATAGGGAAGGAGACTATATTTATTCATGCCGTGAAATTTGGTATTGTAATTCTACACTTAGATGTGTGGGTTGAATTTAATTTCAGTTTGTATTAACTGAACATAACCTCACTTTTACAAAATGTTCAAACAAAAACTATCAATTTCCTTGAAAATGGCTCACAGTACTAAATGTGAAAGTAAAGATATCACTAGTTTAACAGCTTTTAATTGCAACATGTTTTAGTTTAATGAATATTCAGTATAATACTGGGATACTGGGAACAACCCATTCTTCAAGTGCATGAGCACTGCATTTAGTATAATGGAAAATTAATGTAATATCTATAGTATGATTAGAATTGTATCTGTATTGAATGAACTGCAAGACCAGTGAAGAATTCAAAATAGAAAATAATACATTTCAATATACCTCTCACTTTGCCTTTTATCTGTGATACAGTAAATACAATTTTATGATATCCATTTTCAATCCAAGAATATAAAATTTATCTTTATATATTTCCATACATATGTTATATTCAAAGCATGTATATTTACTGTTTTGACTTGCAGGTCTAAATTTTTAATTTTACGACATTTCTTAAGTGCCAGAATTCTCTGTATTACAAAGCTGGAAAGCTCCCTGATCTAACTTCTAAATTTGTGTTTCAAATTAGTTGTTGTTTAATAATGTACGAAAATTATGCTTGCATCAACCAGGCAGTTAAAAGAACCGACAGTCATTTGGCAGAGCTGTTCATTAACGAACAGCAAAGGAAGATGAAATAAGCCAAACAAGACATGCTTGTACTAATTCAGAAAAATGTGCTCATTTGAAGATATTATCAACTTGCAAAGATATGTTTTTGTTAAAATGCTTTTTTATATTCTGTTACATAATGTGACTGTTTAGTTTAAAATAGAGTTTATCTATGCGTGTTAAGTTTTAATGTGGACAGTGTGAATTTGTTTGAAGGAGAAACAAATTTATCAGATTTGTAGAGGTTTTCTGCAGGCATTCTTCATAGTTGGTCATAAATGTTGATAGTGCTGTAATTTTAAGGTTTATTTTATTCAAATTTTTCGAAATAAATTAAGGGTTTTCATAAAAAAATAACATTTTAATTCTGGAGAGAACAATTAAGTATCAGTGCCCACATGTTTACCACTTGCGTAAATACCAGATTTTATGTATCTTATGTCACTTAATTTCTCTACTGCTGTAAGTGCCTATAATGAACAGTTTTGGTGCCTGAACATCCAAAGCCAAATTATTACTGACAGAAATACATTTGTAACCTTATTATGAAGAACAAAAAGCAAGAATGTTTGCAGAAGAATGTATTAATACCCTTGTTCTGTGTGCCTTAGTATGTGCTATAATATTACTACCATTTTAGTGCCAAAGATAAATTATAGTTGTCATATATAACATTAATTTGTAATTTTCAAATGTGCATACAGCATAATGTCTTATGCAGGAAGAGTCATGTCCTGTTCATTAAATTAATAGATTCATATAATTCTGTTATACTCTTGGTTATAGCAGTTAATGAAACACCACGTATCACGGCTGATTTAAGCAATGGGCAAAATGAGCAGCTGCCCAGAGCCCCTGATTTTAGAGTTCCACAGCACATGAGCTTTTTGCTTTGTGTATTTAACCCTTCTTAACCTGTTTCAGAATATCTCAACACACTTGGGAAATTTTAGTCTGTGTTTCCATTAATTGTGCCAGATGTCAGTAGCATGCATACATTATTTGTGGGATTCCAAAGGCTAGTTCGGTTTGTAAGTTTGATTCACGTGTCTGGGCGATAGACAAACTACACGCTTTTATTTTTCTTTAGTACATTACCTATTTCATACTTCCAATTTGAATTTGTAAAATGTTTGGTACTGCTCCAAAAAATAATTTTAAACCAAAATAATTTTTAGATGTGTTTTTGATGTTTTACTGTCCTTTATGCTTTTGTTAATATAAATTAATTTTTTACTGGTGTAAACTTGTAAGGTATTTTTTGTTTATAAAATGCAAAGGAGAGGAAGAGCCCAAAATTGTATTTTTCCGAGGGCTCACGATTGCCTGAAAGTGACCCTGATATTGATGCTTCTGTTTTCTGGATGTTATGGCAATCAGTTGTTCAGAACTTATAGTTATAATCACATGTGTTAGATGTTCTGATACAGTACAGCATCAAAATTATTTATTTAATAAAACTGATTACTTATTTTTTATGGATGAAAGGTGATATTCAATTTAATATGTATATTTATTTTGGTTACTTCAGTAATTGAAAAAAATTGTTGGCTTTAAACTTTGAACCATGATAAATGTATGTTAATTTTAGGCCAGTAAAAATGTGTGTACAAGTCAGGAATATAACCCACAGCTTTTGAGTGTTATAATTTTCATCCTTTTCAGATAAACTATTTTCTGTTTCATGTATATTTGAGAACTGTCCGCGTTAGACGTTTTTGTGCTACTGTCAGGAATATATGAACTTCTTCACATTGGGATCTCTTCTGTGTGTAACTTATTATTTGTACGAATAATATATTTTTATATAAAAGTGTTTTTTTCTAATAAAATTAGTGAGGGAATTACTGATTAAATGGGCTGTGGGTTTCATTTGTGGCTTTAATAAAAATTTATCTTTGAACCATAATAAATTTCACTGTTAAGATTTGCATGGTTCAATGTCTGACATCAGCACATCATGTTGTAACATGCTTAGTCATTATAATATTCATAGACTCTTTAAGGCTTCCCTTTTTCATGCCAACAAGTTGGATGTTTCAGAAATTTAATCATTATTCATTAATTACGTGAATAATGACTGTCCTCTTTATAACCAGGCAAGTGATATATATATATATATATATACACTGTTAACTCTACACCATTTTTCACCCAACTTAGAAGTTGAAGGCAGTATATATAACCGAGTTAAATAACTTGACATCTTTCAGAATGTGTGCCTTATGTTCTAACAGGAAGAAATACTTCACTAACAGCAGTTTTGTTCGCAGCTAACATAATATTTGTAAAATGACAGTTGGACTTGTATTTTCATATACGTATCATGCTATATCATGTAATTACAATTGTTACAGAATACAGGTATAATAGATTGATCTCTCAAAATTGGTGTGCCATTATTATCACATCTGCCAGAAACCTTAACATAAATTAAGAGAACAGAAAAGCCAGTTCTATCTGTTATAACATGTTTCTCATACTCCTCATTCCCTCCAAAAGAATTCCAGAATATTACCTTAAAATAGGATGACACAATTATTTCGCAATTTTTAATGTGACTTGACACATTTATCCTCGGTAATTGATAAGGGTCACAAAAGAGACGGGAATCTTAGATCACTACGTTAACATAAGAGTTACCCTGCATGGCCTACTAGTCTTGTATTCAGAGTCACCTTTGAATGATTAACCTTCTGAGGCTGAAGCTCATCTGAGTAACATATAAACCTTCAGTTCCTACCTCAAAGAAAATGCAACCCGTCTCCATGACGATGATTAAGTGGTTAGGGAAATAATCTCTGTTTACTCTGTGGGCAAAATGCAGTTTTCGAATATTAAAGCAGGTGGTACATATTGTTACCACTGCCCTTGGAAGTATTAAAAGAGAATGAAGGATGAGTGGCGTGAAGATAGCGTGGGTGAGCAAGACAAGATGTTTCCAAACAATAGTAATGTATCTTTCAGATAAGGGATTTACATGACAAAAGATGAACTGACATACCTGGAGAATGGTAGGCTTCTCATTGAAGATTGGGTGAGTATACTGAAGTTTATCCCAGGTAATACCTTGCTTTGTCACGATTTTGTTTAATTTTTCCAGTTAAACACTGACATAGTACTTCATCACACAATTCGTAGGATTTCAGCAGATTGGGTTGTCAGTCAAAAATACCACTTTCAACTGGAAAAGGAAATATATTCTGATATAAGAAGCCGATCATTTATGTATATTTATTTGCTAGGTAACCATACTTCAGATGTCATTCCAAGTGTCTGCTTCATACTTGAACTGAATGATTCATCTGAAAATGTTGGATTAAGTTTAAATATCTCCCTCGCTGTTTTGGAGTACTTATGGACAGCTGCAACTATGTTTTTCACTTCTTTGTCCCCATGTGGAATTGTTGGAATTTCTTGTGGTTCCTGCTTAGTGCACTGAGCTGTGGGTCCCAAAGGATATAACCTGATCCAGTTTCCTTCAGACACTGGAGGAGATCTCCAGTCACGTCCGTTACCCCACAACATCGGTGGCGGGTACTTGTTCTGACCGCGGAAGCCGTGGGTTCGATTTCTACTGCGATCGATCAGTAACGGATTATAATGCACCCAAGCATCATCTGAATCCTGTGAATTCTTGCCATTTATTAATCTATGGTTATTGTCATCATCTTCACCATAACCTAAGGCTGTTGAAGCGTAAGAATTCTGAGCAATATTTTGATTAATGGAAGAACATTTGATGGGACTTTTTGTTCCAGTACTATGTGTCATAGATTTTCTTCCACAGGGCATCCTACTACTTGAATCTATTTTTCCTGAGCATCCAGCAAGACTCTGATGCCTGGTTGTCTGAAGACTTGCACTTTTCTTCCTAGTTCTTTGTACAGATGTACTGTGTGTTGAATTATGATTCTTCTGTTGATGCCTTCTTTTCCATCTGCTCGCAGCCGCTACCACGCTCAGGGCCGAAGACTGCGCCTCCCTTTCTCTGCTGTTCTCATCTTCACAGTCTTCATTTTCTGATTCTGGATGATCATCGTTGCTTGAACTGGACCATATTGTGAAGAGTGAAAGTCCTGTGTTACACATAGGTAGACCAAGAAGATCAAACATATCATGCAACATTGGTTTCTTCACAATCTGATCTATATCACAGTCATTTCCGAGTGCAGGACTCAAATTTACCTGCAAAAAGAAAGTAATGCAGTCATAGGAAGTCCATAAACAGCAGTGGTTATTAATAATGAACCAGAAAACCTTTCACTTTATATAATTTATTTGTATTACTTCCTTACAAGCTGATTTTTATTTCTTATAGACAAACCACATCAAAAATAAACAACCCTAGAAGAATAACAAGTTTGTACAAAATGAAATTTTAATTTACGTAAGAAGTCTTACTTCTAACAGCCAAGGCCTGAGACTAGAATCGATGAGAACGTCAAATCCGTAGAACTCGAAGCAGTTGGCAGTATTGGGGATGCCAGAGAGCTGGCTGACAACAGTGAGGACAACAAGCGAAGATATCCGTTGCCACAGCAGCCAGTCCGAGATTTTGGTCTGGTGGAAGTAGTGACGCAGCTGTTTCAGGGACCATTTGCAACCTGCAACAGTATCAGTCCAACTATTCTCACATTATACGGCACAAAACTGTAGATGATATGAGAGAGACTGGTCTGGTAGAGAGTATAATTTTTAATGTTTTATGTCAAACTAAAACTTCCACTGGCCTAACTAGCTTTAATTTTTTAAAATAAATTACAAATACTTTAAGTTGATTTGTAGTGTGTCTACAGGCCTGTGACTGAGCTGTCCATGTATTAATTCTTCCTACCAAACCTGCCGCCTTCAAGAATTCCAGTTCTTTATCATCTCTCACACCACGAATAACTTTTACAATCCAAAAAAAACAAAACAATATTTCTATTACATACCAGGCCCAATTCTTTCCTTTTTCTCATTATAACCTGGTCCCCATTTATTGAGCGAACTGTTGGTGAGATGGCAGAATGGATTGTTCAGGTCGGCCATCGAGTACTTGTCCGTGCCAAATCTGACCAGACCTTCCCTGTACAGATACACTGTTAAGGGATGATATGATGGTATGCACACGTACAATCTCAAATCAAACTTGTAGCCACCGATGAGCAGAGGGTTCTGAATGTAGCGCTGTACGATAGCATTACTATCATAACATAGGTCGCCGAGGTCCTGCAAGCATTAACAGTCCTAGTGAGAACCAAGCGAGTCCATTACGCACACACGTGGGGCTCATTTAGTATACCGCTGTTCATAAACTTACCTTGAAAAGGAATATACCCCGTCCTTGACTCTGACCAACGGGTTTGCATATCCATACTGAATTTACTTTGCTTTTCCCCTGACTGAATTCTGCTACAAGCTTAGTGTACTCCAGGGGCAAGTTATAAACCAGTGGACTGAAATAAACATTAAAATGTCATTATAATACGAATCCTCAGAGCTATGAAACTGTTTCATAACACGCAGAAATCACTTCGGACTGGAAGTCTCGTCAAGTAGCTGGCACTCCCGCTTCATATCTGACTTTCCCGAGTTCAAATCTCCATTTAAAAAATCAGCTATAACCACCCAAGTTCTGTGTTTTTCCTCAGTCTCTCCAGGCAGATATCAGGATACTGCTTTAAATTATACCATTCCTTCCATATCCTTTCCAATTCATCGTCATTTTACGCTATATAATCGCAAAATTGAAAGCGTATTTAAATTTTAACATAGCAACAAAAATGCTATACCCAGTTTATAGGGATAATAATACAGAATGAGTCGCAATTAGGTATCGATTTAAAGGAACTGAAAAAAAAACTATGGATGTGATAGGAAACGTCGCATTTCTTTTTACATCTGCGAGTTCATTTGAGAGTTATAATTACTTTAAATCGCGACCTAACTTTGACTCACCCTGTATATTACAATTAATGGCTATGTTGGACCATAGATTCTGAAGGTAAGGGGATAAAGCAGGGTATTTATTGGATTCATCTGGCTCAGGATAAGACAAAGCGACGGGCTTTTGTGCATAAGGTAATGGACCTTCATGTTCCATAAAGAGTACTGTATATTTGACTTCCTGAGCGACTCTAAGGCCCACGTAGTTAAGTAGAAATATCAGTTTCTCCCGAACTATGGCGAAGAAAGATATTTTCAGATGAGGGGTTTCGCTCCTATATATATATATGTGTATATATATATTATATATATATATATATAGGCCCACTATAACCGTAAAAATATAGGCCATTTACGTAGTCACGCGAACACGGAGAAATGCTCCATCCCCAGAATTATCCTGGAAAAGCAAGAGGGAAAAAAACCACCTGTCCTTTTAATTTAGCAGAGCCTTTAAATGAGAAGTTAGAACGAGAAAAAGACACAAATTACAAACCCTTTCGATGGCAGTGGATTCTCAATTATTGTAATTCCTACGTAAAACTTAGGCCGGAACACTGAGAGCGCGTTCAAAAACTTTCTTTTGTCGACTGCGTTAAAAGCATTTACAATTGTTCATTGCATTCTTACGTTAAACCAAATTAAAACGATCAAAACATTACACAACACGAATAATCACAAAGCTTAGATTAAGTACTCACCTAAAATCGTAGATAGTTCCGTATATTTTTTTCATACACCTTAGATATCGCGCCAAATTATCCTTTCTGCATATTGAAGATCCCTTGGGGATGTGATTTGTGAACTGAGAAGGTAAATAAATATAAGGAATTTTTAAACGTTAAGTTACTGCAAAATTCAGATAAATATTATTTATAAATTCAGTCCGTACCTCATAGAAAACACAACACTTCACCATTACAAAGATCGACTGGTTAACGCTGTTTAAGGAAATAATCGCTGTTTACACTGAGAATCATAGTTCGTCTGATTAATATTAAAGAATTCAGTCCGTACCGCGAAGAAAACACTACACTTCACCATTACAAAGATCAAGTGGTTAACGCTGTTTAAGGAAATAATCGCTGTTTACACTGAGAATCATAGTTCGTCTGATTAATATTAAAGAATTCAGTCCGTACCGCGAAGAAAACACTACACTTCACCATTACAAAGATCAAGTGGTTAACGCTGTTTAAGGAAATAATCGCTGTTTACACTGAGAATCATAGTTCGTCTGATTAATATTAAAGAATTCAGTCCGTACCGCGAAGAAAACACTACACTTCACCATTACAAAGATCAAGTGGTTAACGCTGTTTAAGGAAATAATCGCTGTTTACACTGAGAATCATAGTTCGTCTGATTAATATTAAAGAATTCAGTCCGTACCGCGAAGAAAACACTACACTTCACCATTACAAAGATCAAGTGGTTAACGCTGTTTAAGGAAATAATCGCTGTTTACACTGAGAATCATAGTTCGTCTGATTAATATTAAAGAATTCAGTCCGTACCGCGAAGAAAACACTACACTTCACCATTACAAAGATCAAGTGGTTAACGCTGTTTAAGGAAATAATCGCTGTTTACACTGAGAATCATAGTTCGTCTGATTAATATTAAAGAATTCAGTCCGTACCGCGAAGAAAACACTACACTTCACCATTACAAAGATCAAGTGGTTAACGCTGTTTAAGGAAATAATCGCTGTTTACACTGAGAATCATAGTTCGTCTGATTAATATTAAAGAATTCAGTCCGTACCGCGAAGAAAACACTACACTTCACCATTACAAAGATCAAGTGGTTAACGCTGTTTAAGGAAATAATCGCTGTTTACACTGAGAATCATAGTTCGTCTGATTAATATTAAAGAATTCAGTCCGTACCGCGAAGAAAACACTACACTTCACCATTACAAAGATCAAGTGGTTAACGCTGTTTAAGGAAATAATCGCTGTTTACACTGAGAATCATAGTTCGTCTGATTAATATTAAAGAATTCAGTCCGTACCGCGAAGAAAACACTACACTTCACCATTACAAAGATCAAGTGGTTAACGCTGTTTAAGGAAATAATCGCTGTTTACACTGAGAATCATAGTTCGTCTGATTAATATTAAAGAATTCAGTCCGTACCGCGAAGAAAACACTACACTTCACCATTACAAAGATCAAGTGGTTAACGCTGTTTAAGGAAATAATCGCTGTTTACACTGAGAATCATAGTTCGTCTGATTAATATTAAAGAATTCAGTCCGTACCGCGAAGAAAACACTACACTTCACCATTACAAAGATCAAGTGGTTAACGCTGTTTAAGGAAATAATCGCTGTTTACACTGAGAATCATAGTTCGTCTGATTAATATTAAAGAATTCAGTCCGTACCGCGAAGAAAACACTACACTTCACCATTACAAAGATCAAGTGGTTAACGCTGTTTAAGGAAATAATCGCTGTTTACACTGAGAATCATAGTTCGTCTGATTAATATTAAAGAATTCAGTCCGTACCGCGAAGAAAACACTACACTTCACCATTACAAAGATCAAGTGGTTAACGCTGTTTAAGGAAATAATCGCTGTTTACACTGAGAATCATAGTTCGTCTGATTAATATTAAAGAATTCAGTCCGTACCGCGAAGAAAACACTACACTTCACCATTACAAAGATCAAGTGGTTAACGCTGTTTAAGGAAATAATCGCTGTTTACACTGAGAATCATAGTTCGTCTGATTAATATTAAAGAATTCAGTCCGTACCGCGAAGAAAACACTACACTTCACCATTACAAAGATCAAGTGGTTAACGCTGTTTAAGGAAATAATCGCTGTTTACACTGAGAATCATAGTTCGTCTGATTAATATTAAAGAATTCAGTCCGTACCGCGAAGAAAACACTACACTTCACCATTACAAAGATCAAGTGGTTAACGCTGTTTAAGGAAATAATCGCTGTTTACACTGAGAATCATAGTTCGTCTGATTAATATTAAAGAATTCAGTCCGTACCGCGAAGAAAACACTACACTTCACCATTACAAAGATCAAGTGGTTAACGCTGTTTAAGGAAATAATCGCTGTTTACACTGAGAATCATAGTTCGTCTGATTAATATTAAAGAATTCAGTCCGTACCGCGAAGAAAACACTACACTTCACCATTACAAAGATCAACTGGTTAACGCTGATTATCAGATTCAAATTACACAGTCAGTGGTTACGGGTTGGACGGCCGGGGTTCGATTCCTGGCGAAGGTACCTCTCTTAATCACCAAGTCGTGATCGGTTCTGGGGCCATCTTCATATTAACAAATATGTGGAGACTTGGAAATTCGCCCCAGCCTTGTTAGTGAGGTTAAATCTTCTTACAGACAAAGACAAACATTGAATTTGATACGATAAGATTTATTTCTAACCAAGGCAATAAAAATATTATGAAACGCCTGTATTAGGGTATAGTTTTTATTTTATTTTTGCGTGGACTTAACTGGAATTTAACATTGAAAACGCAACAATGACAGAAATGATAATTCTCTGCTTAACAATACTTGATATAGCGCTTAAAGAAATCGAGTATGCCTGACAATGGTACCATTCAATGTGAATTAATAGACGTAAAATTATTTACTACTATGAAGGCAATCAATTAACTGTCATATTTCGATGTATGCTTGAATACATTTTTCACTCCCCTAAATGAAACTGCCTGTATTTGTATCAATTTATATCGAACACTGCAGTCAGTTTTCGTGCGTCAAACTTCCGTCAGATAATACATGATACGTATAGAAATACAGGCTGAAGTACGGGTATTTTTAAAATTCGTTTTACAAAATTTCGTACCATTGTTACTGACAGAACTTGGTCAACAATACAAGACTCTGGACTACGTGAATCAAAGACGACAGCTGACTACACTAATTATCAAAACAGGTAAGAATTGTGTTTTTTGGGAGGGTGGGTTATGATGGGTGTAGACTTTCAAGTAGTTCCCGACGTTTCGGTGGAAAGGATCGTCTTCTTCATTAAGGTATAAACTTTTACTCTGAAGATGGAGATGTTTGATTCCTACGAAACGTTGGTAAATCATCTGTTAAGGCTATTTGACGTGATAAACCATGAAATACAACTGACAATTGACATGTACCAATATTATTGTTACTATGTACACCAAAGTTTGATGTTAGGTTTGCAATACTGGAACCTGGAGAATTTTTATATTCGTGTGTTACCTGCCATGTCTTGAGCTGTTTGTAATGAGAAAGTGGCAGCCCGGTGTTTCTCCACCACAGATTCCAGTTGTCCCTTAGCGCTCCACATTCGCTGTACTGCCTCCAGCCTCGTTCGACGCACACCTATCAAATAAAAAAAAACACGATCGATATGCAGATATCGATGTTAGTCATCTGGACAGGAACACCCTGTACGTAGATCCTAACGTTTCGGACGAACATACTGTCTTCATCTTCAGGACTGAAGAAGACTAACATAAACATTCTTAAATCTTATATTAGACGTATCAATTCAGTGTGGTGATACAGTGATATTTTGTATGTAATTTAGTGCTCATATTTCACCCTTAAACTTATTACTAAATTTTCTTTTCAGTGTAAAGGGATACAAGTCTCTGCTATTACCAAAAGAGGACTAAGATATCACAACGTACGCACTTGATATTCTACAAATAAACTGCCTTTGAATCATGGGCGAAGATTATGATACATTTAAGACGAACTAAAATATTTATAACAACGAATCTTAACAAGCAACTTTTGTGTCACTAGTACAACACACTGTATAAGGAAGTCATATTTAGCGAGATCATGAACTACACTATGTTGGTACGATCGCCCTGATGATGGAGCCAGTAAACACCCCTAAACTGTTATTTAATATGAACAAGACTATACGGTCGAGCATTCCAAAAGACAGCTAACCCCACAAAGTTATATTAATTAATTTACAAATTTGTCGTTTATCAGTCCATATTCAGACAGTCTACACTGAATTTTGTAGACGGCACAGCCGTGAAGCGAACCCTTGACGCTAAGAGCGACCGACTCTTACCCTCGAGTCCGCCACTCGCAGAAAAAACACCCTGTAGCAAAAACATAAAGTCCTTTAGGAAGCTTAACAGAAAACAAAATTTTTTCTTTGCGTGATTTGGTTCGCGTGATGTGATTGGTGAACCAAACTGTCAGCTGTCTCAATGAAAAAGAAAAAAAAACAAACTCATTACAGAAGTGGATAACCTCAGTTTACAAAACTGTCTTCAGAATCAATGCCAACACGCCTGTAAAATAGTTTAGTAGAGTTGCGAAACAAATGTTACGCGGTTAAAAATAAATCGCTCTAATACTTAAAATATAAACGTATGGAACGACTAAAATAGCTTAAAAAAACTTCGAAATCTGTTAAAATTTACATGATTTCTGTAACTTGTACTTAATTCGCTACAACTGAAACTCTTACCTGAATTAGAAGATTTGGTCCTGCTCCATTATCGTTTATTCTAAACACAAAAGGACCTTCGTCGAAAGCCATAACAACCTAAGGATAATTCAAGAACACTCGACATTTACATAAATTAATGTATATTAAATTATGTTCTATTCCAGTCTCATTTCCCTTGGCAGTGGATAATATATGTGCTCACATATCTTGAGTGAGTATTTCTTTTCAGATTTAAAAGTAATAAGATTTTTTCGTGTCGTGAAATGTTCCCGTATCAGACTTACAACTCAGTCGCCGCACATCCTTATTCCTAGGCCTGAAGGACCCGACTGCCATGCCGTTTTGTCCTTCGCCAACAGTCTTGTGGCCTACTCCCCCTCTGCCTTTCCGGCAAGTTCTTCGTCCCCCGCCGCGCGAGTACAGAACACGCAAAAACATATAAAAACATTCTCAGAGTAACGGTGTAACTGATTACTTCCATTTATCTTTAAGTATAAATATATTTAGTATATAAAACTTTTATAAAAAGCAAAAACTAAGACTATTATCTTAAAAGTCCTCCCCCCCCCCATAAAACACATCATAAAAACTTTATATGAAAGTAAGGTTCAACTTCCAACACGATTATACGCTGATATAAATATTATAATAATTAGTTGCGTAGAAACTTAGATTTGATTTAAAATCTCACAACTCAAAAAATGACGCGTGCAATTTTGTGAGGAGTGAAATTAGAATGTCATTAGAGTCTGGAAGGAAAATCAACGCGATGTTTACGAAGTGACGTACGAACACTGGGTCACGTGTCTGCGCGCAACAATGTCGTCACGTAACTAAGGCAACCCTGACGCGCGTTACATCAGCGACCCTGACAGTTCCCGATGTAACGCTGTTTAGAGTCGTTTACCACATTTAAACTGCCTGACCTGTATTGATTTCATGTTCTGATGGAGGTTTAATGTCCCTGCAAACATGAAAGGGCCTTCGAACTCTTAAAATATAATTTTTAAACATTATTTCGGATGAATATATCTGCCCACTGTTTTTATTATTACTATCGTCAACTCCAGCACCACAATTATTACCATATTAATCGCAAAACAAAAAAATTTACTTCTTATGTTAACAACAAAATTTTGTATTGACATATATTATAAGAATTAAATCATCATTTACCAGTCTACACTATCCCACGCTGTTTCCTATAAATAAGTTTAATATCCTTCCATCTAAGCCTAGGTCTTCCAAGTAGTCTTTTCTCTCCGTGCTTCCCAACAAAAATTCTGTAAGCATTTTTAATCTCCAACATCCGTACATGTCCCGTCCATCTCATCTTCCTAAATTTTACCATCCGTATATTTGTGAAAATACAAATTATCGAGATTCTCATTATAAAATTATTTCCGCCCTCCTGCCACTTTATCCCCCTTAGCTCCAAATATTGTCCTCAGTACACCGTTCTTAAAACCCCTCCCTCCAGCTTAGGTTCCTCATGGCAATTGATATCCAGCGCAGGAGGTAGTGATTTTACGGTCAGTCATGCAAACCATGCGGCCGACAATCTCTTAACAGAGTTGCTATGGCAACGGTTATAAGTTATGCACAACAGACACACACACACACAGTCATAAAAATTCTGACATCAATATAATACAAGGCTATAATGGCCTGTAGCGGGTAACACTCCAGCCTGAATAGTATACTACACTCTCGGCAGATGTGTCGGAGAAGTTGCCGCATGTGCACGGCGCTACTCGATTCGGTTCTTTGCAATTATCTGAACTGAAGCCCTACACAAAGTAATCTCGTTGGTAACAGGCAACCGCAGCAGATAATATCAAGTGCTGAACGGTACTACCAACTCTTCTTCTCTTTTTCCGTATTTTTATTCTTAATTTGTATCCTTCGCCCAAATATTTTATGAAAATCGAATCAAGTACGATGTAATGTATAGAGCATGTACAACGCATGGCAAAGGTGAGAAATTAATACATAGTTTCAAAATCTACACAAAAGAGATCCCATACGGGAAATTAAGTGTAAAAGGGAGGATAATATTAAAGCGGATCTTAGATAAATAATGTGGGAGTGTGTGGAGTGGATTCATCTGGCATGATATAGTCACAAGTGACGTACCCCTTCAGACTCCACTAAAAGCAGAGTATGTATTGACTACTTAAGCGACTATCAGCTTTCCAAGAAAGTGAGTTCCATGGAGTTAGGTGAACATTTAACATGTTTCGACGCGGACTGTACACTTACCTACATACTAAACGCCGTATAATTTCCTCACAACCTATAACGTACATTCGAGGTTTCCACGCAATGTGGTTCATTTCACGTGAATTAATCAAACATCTGCTAATCTCATTCTAAATATAAACATTTTAACCTTTTGTTCTGTAATGCATCATCATGGTAAAATAGAAATTAAAATGTTTCTTCGTTTGAATTGCGTGTCATTCTATTTCCGTGCATATATCAATAACTTCTATCGGAAGTTTGCAGATAGACAGATCCTCTTGCGTAAAAGCACATAAAGAGGATTGTGTATATTTAGACGTGATGATACATGGGCCATTGTTCGCGTCACCAAGGTTACTGGTGCCCTGTCTTGACCTCGTTTGCTGCGTGGATGAACAGCGTAATAAAATGCTTATGTGGGAATCTGTTTCCAGGAGTTGGGCCATAAAATTATAATTTCTACTCACACTAATTCCACTGAAACTCACAGTCGCTTTCCTCGTCAAGAAATTTTACGAGTTTTATGCAAACCAAACGCTCACTTGCACGCTACACCATTATTTTAACAGAACACTGAAAAGTTCTTAGAAATATTAATGTCAGATTTAGCCAATTAATTAAACTTCGTATGAAGGTTATATTTTTTGTTATTTCCCTTAAGTATCGCTTAATGGGAGTGTACTGCCAGCGTCACGTAAAGGGACACTGGACTTTTGTTTCAAGAGTAATCTTTATAATAATGAAAAAATGTTTTTAACATGTCCATCATAAATATAATATAAAATATATCTAATTTTTCACCTTCGCTCAATAATAATTCAAGAAGTGTTATGATCATTTTACGAAATTTTAAAGTTAATATTTCAATTTGTAAATCGATCATTCGATGCGGAACGTGAAATGATATTTTAAATATTTTATATATTTTATTATCTTATTAAAATTGTGATTTGATGTAAAATATTAAAATATTAACCTAATTTACAATATGACGCAAATATACTACCTTATGAAATTTTAAAGACCAAACAGGTTTTAAAACCTTAAAACTTTCATGTTACAAATTTCAAACATATTTTCTTCAAGAAATTTAATTTTCTTAATTTCAAAGATATTTTCTTCAAGAAATTTAATTTTCTATACAAAACCCATAACCAGTTCCCATAAAAACCATCACCCAATCGACACGTGACAGTTAATGGAGACTGAAGGCGAGTATATAGTTAACCTCTGTCAAAATGTTTAAGCAAATGGCACATTAAATTCCGTAACAGTCAGACATTCTAATTGTCTCTGTAAACATCAATTGCTTATGGATTCCAAGAACACGTGCACTAATTAAACACTTCAGCCAGTAATCTTTCAATTATTGCTGCCAGTGCAATTGATATTATTAAAAATACCATTATTTTACCCACCAAAACCTCTTAAATTTTACGCGTTAAACTGTCTAAAGAGTTAGAAAACTCTACAACAAGAAAAAGTATATAAATATTTGAAAAGTTACAGATTGTTTCCAATAACTTTCAGTAACTGATATTCATAACGAGTTTTATTTAGATAGATGAACTTTATGCACGACAAAGCAATTACGTAAGAACAAAATAGTACAGTATAACTCCAGGCTTCACTTCTGTAATTGATTTGATTCTACTTCGTCAAATAATCCAGACTAAATGTTATTACGATGAGGAGTGTACAATAATACAAAACTGAAGGTTTTCTAATTTGGCAGAAATGAAAGTGATCTTGATTTGTGTGTGAATTGAATCAGTAAAACCACATGTCGCACGCAAATAACTGTTTTTATCATTAATTTATATTTCAAAAACACGGGACGACGTTGCATGACCTTTAAAACCTGCCTTGAACTCTAAATCAATTTTATCTTTGAAGAATCTGGTAATGATCATATTCCGTGCCTAGTATTTCACGATTAACCCTTTAAAACCCAATGGTAACTATATGTACCACATACTTCAACAATCAGCAACTTTTCATGTTAGTTTAGGAATAAACAGCGATTATTTCCTTAAACAGCGTTAACCACTTGATCTTTGTAATGGTGAGGCGTTGTGTTTTCTTCGCGGTACGAACTGAATTATTAAATATTAATCAGACGAACTATGATTCTCAGTGTAAACAGCGATTATTTCGTTAAACAGCGTTAACCAGTTGATCTTTGTAATGGTGAGGCGTTGTGTTTTCTTCGCGGTACGGACTGAATTCTTTAATATTAATCAGACGAACTATGATTCTCAATGTAAACAGCGATTATTTCCTTAAACAGCGTTAACCAGTTGATCTTTGTAATGGTGAAGTGTAGTGTTTTCTTCGCGGTACGGACTGAATTCTTAAATGTTTAGATTATCTTACACTTTTAAAGGGTAATTTGAAATCACAACGCACAGATTCTTCCTCATTTAACGTGAAGGTACGTTTTTACAACAGAATGTACAACCTCAGCTAAGGAATTAGCGATGCAATTTGGTTCCTACAGAAATAATGAAGTCCCAGACATGATGTCTATTGTTACCATTTTACCTTTGTCTTGAGCTAATCTAGTTCAACAGACCCACGTCATAGTCTAATTGCTAGCACGCAAATCTGTTGCATTCAATCGATGACTAATTCAGAAAACGTCATAGTGACGTCATGAAAAATGTTCTGTTCACTTGGTAAATGCGTCTAGCCCTCTTCCGGGCGCATTCATCTTCATTGTCAGCAGAAACGTGTTGGTTTTATGGAGTAAATTACTCAGACAAGGCACAACACTTCATACCGTAGCAATAGTGAGGCATAGGCTTTTACAGACTCTCGTTTGAAAAGCAGGTCAAGGTTGATGTTGGTAGCATTGGCATTAGATACGTAATTTCACGTAATTTTCATGGAACGTGACAGCTTGTATCCGCATTGCAGGTGCAAGGTAAATATTACTCTCGTCTCCTTGCAATTTTAAAAGGAGGGGGGCACGTACTGCCATAAAATATGTTGCCCTATTTTGTATTGTTTTATAACATTATTTAGAGCAGGGAATTGCAAAGAATTACGTGCAGTTGAAGTGAAAACTAAAATCTTACTGCAACAATGGCGTTCCGTACCAACAAAATGGAAGGAAACAAAGTTAAGTTTTTAATTTTTTTTTTGTGAAACGCTGAGTTACGGGGCCTATAAAACTGAACGAAGAATTAGTCTAGGGTTTAAACGTGACTTAAATGTAGTTTATATACTACGAAACACGCATGCTCTCTGTTAATTACCTAGAAGCATGAATGCTGCATATAACAGTGATGAATGAGTTCTTTGAATATTTCTCCGAAGACAATAAATAAGGGAGCTGTGTGTGTAATAGATTGACAACACGAACACAGACCTTATTAATTTTATTTTACTTTTAATTGTTCTATGGTTAATTACATTTCTTTGTTCTGCTGTTCACTTAGTTTGCATTCTATCATCACGCTTTTAATTGTTAGCTTGGTTTTGTAAAAGAAAACATTGATAATATAGAATTGTTCAGGGAAACGGGCGATTTTAAAAAACCGTATTTCTTGCGTGCTTCTCATCAAGCTATTTAGTATGTACTTTGCTATGTGTGTGCTATACACTTTAAGATGGCATACTTGTAATTTGACAACTACAAATTCTTTATTTAAATAGAGTTTTTAAAACAGTCCCTTTTCCTTGCCACACTCTGTATAAACGATATATACCCGTTTGTCATTACAACTTTCCCCCGGGGGTAAAGCGGCCGAGGCGTGAAGCTGACCACTCACCTCCACCCAGTGTCAAGGTCAAGAGAGAGTGTAGCTATACCTCCACTACGCCATACGTCTTCATAGTCATTGTACCTCACCTAATCTGAAATCTTCGTGCGTTGTAACCGCCTGTGCTCACTAAAAGACTTTTCATGAAATTTGGTATAGATGTTAGGCCTATTAAAGAGGTCACGGCTTCAAGCCCACGATTTTTAACTTCCTCCAATTCGTAAAACCACTCGAATCGTGAGGTGGAATGTTGATGACGCAATTACCCATGATTCCCTGTGCACGACCATAATTAATTTTGTATCCAATGTAATATTAATTTGACTAAGACTTTTAAAAAAAAAATTGATGTAAGAGTAGATTCAAATTTTTTTAAAAAAATACCAAAAACTGCCCGATGACACCGAGAATGAGTAGAGACACAATCAACTGAATATATTATAAACCAGAATTACAACAAAATTTACAAGGTACAGTCTGAAAGTTGTGTTCAATCTGTTCAGAAACATATTTATGACCCAAAAGACCCTTTATAGACCGATACAATAAAAAAAACGTCTACCAGACTACACGGCGTAACAACCCAGAAGACTTGTCATCTTTAAGATAAATATGCTTCCGTAATGAATGAAAAACTTAGGTTATTTCCGGCAGAGTGATCACATAGCAGAGTTAAAAATACTTTAATACGCAACATAAAGGATTGCTAAACGTCATTAATAACTACGATATTTTAGCTCCATCGAATCCACGTTTTCTGTCTAAATGCACACCGCAAGGGAATACAAGTTTTAATGTTTCCAGTTTTATCGTCTGGATAGAGATTTATAATTGCTGCTTCGTAAAGCGTATAAGTGAACGAGTTCTTATAAACGAATATAACCAAGTGTTTTAAACTGTACTTACGTAAATTAACCGGTCCACAGAGCCTATGCTTAATGTTAATGCCCACTTCACTTCGTATGTGTTACCATAACAGAAGTTATTTCATAACTGGAGGCTACACCAATACAAAAATCATGAGTTTACTTGGTGAAGATATTCCAATCACTCCTCTATTGCTATGATTCTATCGATAATTTTAATATGGTCTTTGCCTCAGTAGTTGTAATAAAAAAAAAAGAAGTCTTGCCGATATTTCTCATAATAATAATATTACCGGTTAACCTTATGTCGTATTTTTAGTCACAGAAAGTATTATTATTATTAATTAATTAATTATTATTATTAACTAATAAAAAAGAATTGAATTGAGTTATTAATGGTGTATGTCATACCTAGGGACCAAAGACCACGTGGCAAGTTATGTTCGTCAGAATGGGTTCGTTAATGTTTCAAATTAATTAACACAAGAAATTTTGCATCAGCCTAGATTTTACCCAAATACCAGCCAAAATACAAGCAGAATTTTCTAAGATCAGTACATTTTATGCTGTAAAAATGGTGTTTTGTGGGGATTGTTTCAGGAATGAGGACTGGGAAGTGGAAAAAATTAAATACATTTTCACATCCAAAAATCGTAACTTATTCACAATTTTCACACATACGTCATTCACAGCAATCACGTACATATAAAATGATCAATACACATATTAATCGTCCAAGTAATCTAAAACTGACACCTGCCCAGCAGATGTCTTTTATCACAAGTAAGGAACAATAACAATGTTACTATCGCAACATTACTATGTTCGGCATTCAGCAAAAAAAGTCTTTAAAGCAGAGTTTCAGCAATGTACAGCTGAAGTTGCTTAAACAGGGTTTAATCTGATATCAGGAACAGCTGAAGACAACTCACTTAACGGCGCTGGAAATTCTTAGAAAAATCAATTGTATACTCAGCTTGTCAGAGAACAGCCCACTTTCTTTATGGAACCTGAAGGTTCATCGCTGTGTTCACAAAAGCCTGCCACTGGACTCTATCCTGAGCCAGCTGCATCCAGTTCGATCCATCGATTCCTGTCTCCCTAAGGTCTTCCCAGACATGAATTTTTTCTAGGGGTTTCACGAAATACATTTTAATTAGTCTGACGAACTTCTTAGGTGCACCAAATTCAAGCAAAATAGAAAGAGTTTCTCCTTTAACTGAGTCAGAGGCTTTCTTGAAGTCTAGAAACAGTTGAAATACCGTCCCATCGTACTCCCATTTTTCTCTAGTATCTGGCAAATGTAGAAAATCTGATCAATCGTAGATCGATCATCACAGAATCCACACCGACGATCCGCAATAATTTCACTGGCAAATGGAGTCAGCCTTGCCGTTGGAAAAATTTTTGCAGGCGGATGATAAGAGAGATTCCTCGATAATTATTACAAATTGGTACGATAACAGATTCCTTCCGCTGCTTTGGCATTTCCTCCTAATTCCATACAGAGCGAATAAGGATAAATAGACATGACGACGAAGTAGCATAGAAAATAATCCATTCTTCTTCCAAAGCTGCATAAATGGCTCGATCTTCATTCATAAATGTTTTTCCTGTTCCTTCAATTAAACAAAATGTAGTAGCTTTATTTATGGAACAAGTGGTTTTACAATCGTCTGTAATTTAATTCAATGAGAACATTTGAGGTTATAATGCAACCCTGTTTAATAATTTCAAAATGTAATCAGACAAAAGGTGGGGGAAAATATATTAATAGTTACACCGAATAAAACTATTATTATATAAAATAACCATTCCAATATTCGCTGGTATCTGCGGCTGTTCCTGAAAAAAAAATTATTTTAATATTCTGAATTATAAAATGTCACTGTTAGATTACAAGTTATTTACAGTCATCGCTGATGACGATATGGAAATTTCATTATCCCTGTTCGTCACCCTTGAATGACGTATTATCGATGCCATTTTTTTTACTGAATTGTGTCTCCTTCAGCGCTAACTCGCCGCTCTTGCTTTCATCTTCATCCTCAGCTTTAGGAACTTCAACATATTTATATTTCATAGCCATCAGTGAAAATATTGCCATGTCTACCAACATAAGCCCTGCAAACAGGAAGAACTCGTGTGCCTGGAAAAAAAATAATAAACATTAATCAACGTCTGATATCTCGCTGGTGATGCGTTGTTATCGCAAATTGGAGCAATCATTATTTTGGTAAACAAGCAGACTCTAAATGTATAAATATTTTAAAATAAGATTATTCTAAAGTTGGAAATAATCTTTTCGTGTAAATTTAAATTAGCTCACGTTATATCATCATTTTTAGCTCCGCTTTGTATATATGAATCATTACACCATTAACTTTAATAATTAGTAATGTTTGGTAATTTTTCATGGGCTGACTCCCTAGTTAAAGGAGTCTAACCAACTGTTGAAGAACAATTCTGAACCTCGTATAACGTAACGATGCTTTTCCAAGGTTGAAGATATCCGTCTTCTGGGTTGTTGCTCTGTGTAGTCTGGTCGATGTTAACCAACGTTTCAGAGGTCATACTGCCTCCGTCATCAGGGCGATGAATATGCCAATAGGGTGTGAGGAGCTGGATTTATAGGCCGGGAAGTGAAAGGTGTGTAGCCTACCCCGAGCCAATGGGAGCAGGTATGGGAGTGGACCAATGGTAGCACGTGGGCGAGAGTGGGAGAGGGAGAGAAAGTAGAGAGAGAAAGGTGAGTTTGGTTGTATGGATAAGGGCCCTGAAAAGGGCCGAGTTAGTGGTCTACACAGCGCAATAACCCAGCAGACGGATATCTTCATACTCACCGCTGTGAGAACCTCAAGTTTTCCAAGGTTCTTCAAGAATAATAGAGCCACAGGAGAAAAAAAAGTTAATTCTGAACATCTGTATTCAAATTAAAATCCAGATTCTCATCAAGTGGGAAATTGCGAGTCTGAGAAGATCGTGGAATGAGACAGAAGTAAAAATTAAAATATAACGGAGGAAATTAAGAAAATAATTCTCATCGCCAGGTGATACAATGGTGGTTATTTCATAGGTTTCTTATTTCTAAGTAATCTTTTGTGAAAAGTTGAGTCAAACACCATCACAGACAATTCTGCGTAAAATTTGCAAGTTATTACTGTGCTTTAAAGAGGGGGGGGGCTGATTCCAATGAACTGACGACAGTAACGGTACCTGGCTGTCGAAGAATTTTGCTTCTGCGATGATGACCACGATGAGGTTACCAAATGCAACTGTGAGCAACCATCCAGCTTGAAGAACAGACTTCATGCTGACAGGAGCCTGGAACACACCAAAAAAAACAAAAACAATATTTATACCAATACATCGACTTAACACCATAAGCACTAATGCACGAGACTCGTAAATCATGTGTAATGTAGGATTTGAGGTTTTCATGACATTTTGAGGATGGCTGTCTTATGTGTCGTTGCGCCGCGTTAGTCTCACAGAAGTTCACCGATGCCCTGATGATGAAGGCAGTAAGGACCTCTGAAACGCCGGAAAACTTCTACCAGACTACGCGGCACGACACAGAACACAGCCACCTTCATATATGTAACATTGTAGGGACAAACAGAATCTTGAAGATGCCAGGAATAATTTAGATGGATTCATCTGGACAGATGACGGGGGCGTACCAAGATGCCATGAATAATTTAGATGGTTTCATCTGGACAGATGACGGGGGCGTACTGCGTGAAGGAGAATTCCAAACCGGTGATGGAAAACATCACTTCTCCCATGGTTATGATAAAATACTGTGGGATTAGCCACAGCATGTGGACGGTGTTCGGCTGAGTTATTGTAAGCAGGCTCATCCTCTGGAATAAATGTCACAAAAATTATTTTACGTGGGTGTGGAACATGGTCTGTCATTCTAAAGGGAAAACACATATGAAAATATGGCATTAGGAAAATATTTGGACATGAGAGGGGTGAAGTCAAGTGACTGGACACTGGCGAAAACTACATAATGAGGAGCTTTTACATTTTTACTCTTCACGTATTCTACCGGCGTGATCAAATCAAGGAGAATGAGACGGATGGGTCATGTAGCATACATGAGATAAATGAGACAAACTACTAGTTTGATAATATTAAAGTCAATCTTCTAGTTCATTGGTTACTGTGTACATAGATGATCAATTTCTACTTCAATCACATTTTTATATTTGTCGCTTGTACTATAATACGCTAAAGAAGTTTATTTTCTGGGGCTTCCCCACAGTAAATAATAATAATAATAAAAAAATGTTATGTACTTACAATTTCATTAGCACTTTCGTGAATAATTAAAGTATAAACTCCTCCGAGTTGCAGTTTCTGTTCTTCGAGATTTGTACCATCGAGTGATACGTGGTAGCTGCAACATTTTGCATTATGAGAAAATAGATTACATGGTTACGAGACCACAATAAGATCGTCTAAACCATAGCATCAGTACAACTCAGTGAAATCAGTTTGCAGTTTAAACTTCATCTGTCCAAAATGCCTCATCGATACACAGAACAATTAAGATTTTATGTATGGAATTGACACGTCAATCATTAGAAAACTTTGTTCTGCGCGGCAAATTAAGTATTAAATAAGCAATAGCTGTCGAAAACCACAGAATGTAATTTCTATGCTTCTTTCATACCCCCCCCCCCAAAATACATATTAACATTTATTACATAATTTTAGTAACTTTGTATAAAATTAAATGTATTTTTAAAACATAAATGACAGGTCTTCTTGAGCTCACTGTAATATATTTTTTTATGTATTCCCTTGCCGTGCGCCAAGTTAGAAATTTTCACTTACGTAGTAGGCGGTATTTCTTCAGTTTCTGTCGTGTGTGTATTATGAAATAGTGTGAATTCTTTTGTCTCTGTACCATCATCCACTTCTTCGAATCTCAATGTTCGGTTAACCTGCATATCCGCGAAACCATAAAGTATCCTGCAAAAAAGAAATTCTTCTCAACTGAATGCCTTGAACATCCACGACGATAACATGTGCTGAAGTGGTTGCACGATTATCTACACGAATATGTTAAAAGAAGTCAATTTGATGGCTGTGTATAAACCTGCGAGAAATTTTAAACAATATACAAAAATTTACTGATTTAAAGACTCCCAACTTAGACATAATATTAGCTACCATAAAGAGATATATTATTTTCTAGTGTTTAAGTTCCTCAGTTTATACAATTATTTCATAAAATTTAGTAAACATTTACCACAATGAGACTCATTTATATATGAAATTAGCTGTCTTCTACTGCCTCCTTCATCAGGGCAACTAGCTGAGATGATGGAGGCAGTAAGGACCTCTGAAACGTCGGTAAACTTCCACCAGACTACACGACACTACAAACCCAGAATGCAGCAACCTTCGGACTCAGCTCGTGAAAACCTAAAATCCCACTAACTAAACTAACTAGATGGCTTGCCGAACCCGAAGGTTCATCACCGAATTAACCAAAGCCCTCCACCGGACCCTGTCCTGGGCCAACAAAATCCAGTCTCCTTCAACTCCTATCTCCCATAGATCCCGCCTGAGATTATCCTCCCAGCTACGTCTAGGTCTCCCCAGCGGTCTCTTCCCCTCAGGATTCCCAAATAGTGGACCCAACCAACCAGATGGCTTACGGAACCCGAAGGTTCATCACCGAATTAACCAAAGCCCTCCACCGGACCCTGTCCTGGGCCAACAAAATCCAGTCTCCTTCAACTCCTATCTCCCATAGTTCCCGCCTGAGATTATCCTCCCATCTACGTCTAGGTCTCCCCAGCGGTCTCTTCCGTTCAGGTTTCCCAACCAGTACCCGGTGCACCCCTCTTGTCCCATCCATGCGCGCTACATGTCCCGCCCATTTCACTCTTCTCGACTTAATCACCCTCACAATACTGGGGGAGCAGTACAGATTTTTAAGCTCGTCATTGTGCAGTTTTCTCCACGCCCCATCGTCTTCCCTCTTAGGCCCAAATATCCTCCTCAACACCCGATTCTCAAACACCTGCAATCTGTGTTCCTCCCTCTGAGTGAGAGACCATGTTTCACACCCATACAAAACAACAGGCAAAATTATTGTTTTGTATACTTTAATTTTCAGCCTAAAATCCCACTATTGATTGAAATTCCCTTTCAGGCATGCAGATGGGACTGACATGACAAAAATTAACACGTAATTTATTGATAAAATTCACTTTAAACCATTAAATTAAAAGAACAGTGGCTCACAGTACAGTGTTTTGGAAAATATGTATATCAGATATATTTTATTCAAATGGTTGTCACTTTTGACGAAAGCAAAATCTCGTAGTACGAAGAAAACATTACCTAAGCAAAGGATCTCCTGATTTAGACTTATCGATGATATCGTACGGTGATGATGAGGTTTCCAGAGAAACAATCGTTGCATTAGAACTATCACCGGTTATGAAGTACGATGTGCCCTGAAATGAGAAAATGTTTGGTGCTGTACAGATTTAAAGCAATTTCTTAACCACCTGTGATTCAAGCGTTAGTTGTGAACACATTTCAGCCACAACTTGGCCGCTGTTATGATTAAAAAAATTAAACATTTTTTTTGTGAAAAAGGGCAGATACAAACATTTAGTTCATTTCCGACTTCAAACTTTTGCTACACGGGAGGTCTCGGTAAACATATTTTTGTGCACCCTCTGGATAATTCAACTGTCTCTTTCTGTGTGCGTAAACAGGTAATTAGGAATAAACATCTTTGTTTAATTTTCCTCTACATTATAGTTAGAAGAAGGTTCATATTTTGAGACAGTCTGTGGATGTTACAAAATTCTAGAAGTTTCATATTTCTTGCGGGACACAAAAGAAATACAAATTTTGTTATTACATTTTGTTGTCTTCCATTTTTCTGCCAACTTCATTGAAAACATGACATTTTTGCATAGTCTGTATCTAAAATTGTTACACGAACAAGTACTTTATTTTCTGGAACGCGTTAGAAAAATAATTATTGTTTCCGCCCATTTTCACCTCCAACATTCCAATTTGAGTTACAAAATGCAGAACATTATTTACAAATTGCCTCAAAATTCAAATTTGTGGGACTGGCCATATTTTATTTCGTGAGGTCTATAACAAAAAAAAAAATTTCTTATAATTGTTTTATTTTACTGATGAAAGAAAAAATGTTTGAACTGCAACTTTTATGATCAAATTCTTCAAAACTTCATCAGAACGTAACCTATAATCTACACTCTCTTAAGATTATCAATGATCATCTGAAAAATGAGGCAAAAATAAAGCAGTTTTGTTAACATTTTACTTGAAGTAATTATGTTTCAATTTTTTTTTAAATGCAAAATTTTAATTACGTTCTAATAAGTGATTTATCGCATATTACCTCGTTCTCTGTTACATTTACGAATCCTCTAAATTCAAATTGGTCACTGCATCCATCACCATGAACTTCCACATTATATACTCTGTTACCGTCCACAGACAGAGTCTGGGCGTTCCAGTAGCTGAGGGGTTCAATTGTAACGCGGTCTACCTCAGACACATCAACTGTAACCGGACAGTTAAAGCCATTAAAAATTCTGAGTTGAGCCTCCCCAGATTGTGGAAGAACCGCGTATGTATCCTGGGAAAATAAAAACACGAGCTCACAGCAGAGGCAATGAAGTAGACATCAAGTCATATAAAACTGAAATGATAATATTAAAATAAGTGGTATGGAAGGGCTAGCTTTTTAGTTAAGCCATTTGTTTTTTTCAATTTTGGGCGAGGTGTTAGAGTATTGACCCACAACTATACGATGACAGTAGTACTTCTGGACATATCGGAACAATCACTCCTACATCTTTGACCGATATGTACATCTGATAAAAAAATTTAAGAAAAGACAACACCTCGCCCAAAATTGAAAAAAACAAATGGCATGAAACATCACCAAAATGGAATCATATTTGAGTTTTAAGTTCGTAAATATTTTACACCTGATGATGGTTTTATAAAAACTGAAACATGTTGTGTAAAAGATGTTCCAAAATGTAAATCGATCAATCGATATGGAACATCAATGATATTTTATTATCTTAATTATAAGAAATTTTAAATATTGTGATAAGACGGATTAAAATAAATAATTGTTGTATTTTCTTTTATTCAGAATTTTGCACCCTTAAAGTTTTAGCTGATTTTTGGAATTCTTCTTATGAATATCAAAATTAAGAACGATCAATTTAAAAAAAAAAACATGTCTCCCACTACAGATATATCAATGTGGTAAAAAACAATGATTCTGACATCTGTTGGCACTAGTCGTTAGTAGCGTGTCTGTCCAGGAAGAAAAATTACACTGTCACATAAAAGGGCACTATGAAAACACAGTATTCTGAAATGTTTTTCTCACCAACAAGTAAAATTCAGGAGCACACTACCATTTTTAAATGCTGAGACTAGTACAAAAAATAAAAATTTAATGAACGTCTTTAAATAACGCATACCGGAATCATAACCCGGATTACGAGCTTGAAAAATAGCATCGCGCATAATTTGAAGAGTTTTTCTACTTTACATTTTAATTTTCACTATTCACAATAACACACACACACACACACATAAATACCTGTAATTGGATTTCGACAATTGCCGAGACGACAAAAGCTATGGCGGCCAGGACGCCACCAATCCCAAGCTTCTGCAAAGGCCGTTTTATATTGCATTTTGCTAGAAGAGGGTACAGCGCAGTTTCAAAGATTGGTATAAAAATCAGAATAAGTAGAGGGTTCACAACTTGCATCTGATCTGGTTTTAGAGTCCAGTCACCCAATTCCCCATTCATTCTGGTGGCCTGGAATGTCCAACGAGATCCCTGAAACAGATACGTTAACACTATATATATATATTTAAGGTTTTCATGCGTCATGTTTGTGTTTTTTGATTAAAATATATAATAAAATTCAGGTCAATACACAAAACTTTATTTAGATGTTAAAATTTAAAATTTAAATGTTAAAATTTAAAATTTAAATGTTAAAATTTAAAATTTAAATGTTAAAATTTAAAATTTTAATGTTAAAATTTAAAATTTAAATGTTAAAATTTAAAATTTAAATGTTAAAATTTAAAATTTTAATGTTAAAATTTAAAATTTAAATGTTAAAATTTAAAATTTAAATGTTAAAATTTAAAATTTTAATATATATACTATCAGAACTCATTTGTGAGCACTAAGACTTCATATTCAACATAATCATACACAGCGACTTAATAACTGCGGTCTTACCAATATTCCAGAGGGATGTATCATCTCCATCTACAAAACTACGTGGCATGAAAACCAAAAAGAACACAGGAGACCTCAAATCCAAATTTCTCAAACAAGTTATTATATAATAAACTCTGGTCTGCGAAGTGTAACAACACACATTTTTTATGTGGATGTTTTTAAGTTAATTAAATTCATAAATGATACAAACTCTGACCAATGAGATTAATGATATTTTAAGATCTGTCCACCACCACCAGTGGATCCCTCGACCTCGCGCCCAATCATCTCCTCATTGGTCCGGCCAATGTTCTACCTTGTCCTGCTAATTCCTTACACACAGCTTATTCATCACCCTGATGATGGAGGCAGACAGCACCTCTGAAATGTTGATAAACTTGTAATAGGTTACATGGTGTAACTACAACCCAGAGGACAGTTGTCTCGAATAAAAAAGACTTCCTTAATTGCTCTGTATTTTGTGAAAGTGCCGTCGCGACTCACTAATTAATTTATAAATTAAAGTAATTATTAAGTATGCGTGTTATAGATGAAAATCTGTAGTTGCAGGCAGTTACTTATTTCAATGATTGCACTCACCTGCTGATCAAAAAGTGCCCAGAAAAATGGAAGCGGAAGGTAGAGGAAGAGAACCCGTAATGTCGCCTTAGTATCGTTAATCAGAGTTTTATCGTATTTATCATCAGCGTAGTCCAGCCAATGTTCACGCTTATCATGCTTCTTCAACTTTCCCTTCCTTATTAGAGCATGCTGAAATTAAAGAACAAGAAAAATTTATGAAAAGCAGGAGTCTTCCTGTTCGTCTGCGTTCTGTCAACACGATAAAGGTTTAAATGACGACAGCCTGACAAAATGTTCTCGTACTGTGTTACCATTTCTCTCCTGTTTATTAGGTAATCATAACAAATTTTAGTGCAAAAATGATGTATCAGATTTTGAATTTTTTACACGTATCGAGAAGAACTTTTGGTGATTAAATTGGTATATAAAAAATTTATTATTGGTCTTTCATTATCACAAAATTCTATTCAACCTGAATGTCATTAAAAGCACTGATATTCTAATAGACATATTGAAAAATGGTTGAAAATTCAGCACAAAATTTTCACACCCCCATCTTGCTTTTAATTCAAATAAACTTTAGGCCAGGATTCTTCTCTCTACCACAACGTCCATACCAGGGATCATCCAAGACTTCTGTCCGGGGATGGCAGTCATTCAGGACGAGTCCTGATGATGGAGGCAGAAAGCACTTCTGTGTTGGTCGATTTCTATCAGACTATATGGCAGAATATCCCAGTGATCTTCATACTTGTTGCTGTAAGAACCTTAAAACTTAACTTACCTTTACCTTACAGAATTTAGTATTAACTTACTTACCTCGTGGTACCACATATCCCGATATTTTTTATCTGACAAAACCCATAGAATAAAATTAATTTATTAAACTAATCTGTGATTAGAAACACTCACCCAAATACACTTAGAGACTGACAGCAAAACATTCCCTTCTGGTTTTTTAATAACGTACAGCCTCTTGCCGAGAACAAAGATTACTGCGGAAAAGAAAACATGACACTGCAATATATAACACGCTACGCAAAACTTATGAAGATGACTGCCTTCTGGGATGCTGCACCATGTAATCTGGTATTCTCCATTAAAAAAGAGTGATTCACCCTGATGATGGAGGCAGTAAGTACCCTGAAACTTTGGTAACTTCTACCGGACTACACAATGTTACAACGAAGGAGACATCCATCTTCATGACTCAGCTCAGTTATTATGACCACAAGGTTTATTATATAGTGTAATTTCATAGTTTGTTTAAGTCTGATCTCAAAAATGTATACAGATTAGGAAAGAGACAAAGAAAATTTAGGTTTTCATCTTTTAAGAACGTAAAAATAAGGTTTAATAACATTTAACAGCGTAACCACTGTCCCAGTTTACCTCCGTACAATATATCCGATTCTAATTTATATTCGATTACTGTTAAATAAATCTTTCCTTATTTTTCCCACTTACTGACAGAAATGATCATGAGAACCGCGGGTATCCCGAAAGCCAGAGGATAGCACGTGTCCTGATCAAAGCACTTGACATCTTCTCGGAGAACCGGAGTCAGGAACGTTGAAATGAGACTTCCGGAATTGATGGCAAAGTAGAACAATGAGAAGAATTGCTGAAGTTGTTTCTCCTGCTGTGGCAATTTGAACTGATCTCCACCAAACGCTGATACGCAAGGCTTGATTCCTCCCGTGCCAATAGCAATCAGAAGTAACCCAACTATACTAAGTTCCCTGCAGAAGAAATAAAAAGTGTTCTATAAGAAGGAGAAGTTATGGAAGTGCATCACGTGAGACTTCAACTAGCAGGGCTGCTTTTAAATTCTTCGCATCTATAACCTCAGCAGCTGCGGGCTAGACGACTAGGGGTTTGATTCCTGGCAAGACAGGGTTTCCCCCCCCCCCCCCACAATTTACAGATTGGCCGTGGGACCTGGGATCTGTCCAGCTTTATAAGAAATTATTACCATTGTTTGTTCCTCAAGGGTAAATCAACCGGGGCATGACAGTAACTATTACGTAGTGCTGAGGTTGGCAGAAAGGGAAGGCCTAGACCTACATTCTGATGTGCACCAGCATGGCACAGTGCTTAGTAAATTTTTCAGGGACAACTTTATCATAACCTTCATATATAACTATTTTATACAATGAAAAAAATTGAATTTTGATTCAAAATGTCAAATTTGTATAAAAATTTGAAATTTTGATTCAAAATGTCAAATTCGTATAAAAATTTGAAATTTTGATTTAAAATGTCAAATTTGTATAAAAATTTGAAATTTTGATTCAAAATGTCAAATTTGTATAAAAATTTGAAATTTTGATTCAAAATGTCAAATTTGTATAAAAATTTGAAATTTTGATTCAAAATGTCAAATTCGTATAAAAATTTGAAATTTTGATTTAAAATGTCAAATTTGTATAAAAATTTGAAATTTTGATTCAAAATGTCAAATTCGTATAAAAATTTGAAATTTTGATTTAAAATGTCAAATTTGTATAAAAATTATCTTATTCAAAGTGACACATAAAATATTTGAGCACGATGACAAAATTTTAAAAACGGACCAAGAAATTATGACGGCGTGTTTACCTGGCAGGCACTTCAATTGCTCCTGTTGCTGAAGCGACCGATATGACAACATTCCCGATGGCATAAACGATGGAAATATAGAAGATGGTCCTAAAAACAAAAACAAACAAGACTTCAATAAAATTCTGTTTTTACATCTGATAATGTTGAAAATGCAAGCATTGCAATACGAGCACGTTAAACGTCTACTGACACAAATCACTAAAATTCTTTATTGGATCTAAAAACATCAAATAACTAACAACATAAACATTTAACATATAATATTTAATATCCCGTAACTTGTAATCACTTCTTAGTAGTAAACAACTGTCATAAATCAATGCTACCAACGTGGACAAACGTAATCATGTTGCCATTTTCTTCGTGTTCTTGGCTTGAGACTACTGAGACTTTTGAACACCCTGTATAACTTCTATGTTAGATTGAACACATTATGTGTCAAATTATTTACAAAGTTCTATGGATTTTCAAACTCAAGACTCACCTGAATTTTCCAATCAGAGTGTCAGCCAACATGGCCCCAAAGAGCGGAAAGAAGTAGCAGAACATGGCAAATACATGGTATATAACCGTGGCATCGTCATCGCTGTATAAGAGAATGTTCCTCAAGTACAGGGCAAGTATTGCTGAAACAGTCAACAGTGTAGTTTCAGGTTCTCATGGTGACAAACATGAAGATGGGGTCTTGAGCCACGTAGTCTGTCTGAAACTGACCGACGTTTCAGAGGGGATTATAATTTTACACATGAATCTATAGTAAATTTGCTGAAATTTTTTGTGTGTTGTGGTCTAGCGGTTAGAACGCTGGCCTTGTAATCCTGGGGTCTCGGGTTCGATTCCCGGCGGTGCCCGAATTTATAACTTGTGTTGGGCAAGGCCGTGGTCTAGGCAACACGGAGTTTTCCTCCGTGGCATCCCAACAATTACTCCATTCACACACAGAAGAAGGCAATGGCAAACCACTTCTGGATCATCTGCCAAGAACGTATATGAACAGGTCCCAGTCCGAGAAAAGGATGGAAGGATCCTGTTCATATGGACCTGTCGTTAGACAGAAAACTTAAAAAAAAAAAAAACCAACAACCACACACACACACACCAGGGTTACGTGTCAGTAAGAATGAATTTACTTACTTCGCATTCCATAATATGAAAATCTTTCACAAAACTCATTGCTGACGATGAAGAAGACTGACTTTGGATATTTTGGTTTCTGTAAATAAAAGAAAGTGATAAAATGCTCAAATTAGAATTTAAAATGACCTGCCTGATATTAAAAGTAAGAAAGTAGCTCCTACACATTCCGGATCTCAGAACTAGACAAGGTTGAGTGGTCAGCGTCATGTCAGCTGCACTATACCCCCACGGAAAGGACCGCTGGTACCTTCTGGATAGAAGGCTTGGCAAAACCGGGAGCCAGTCCAGACACAGACACCAGATGAAAAATCTCTTGCCTGTGCCACGGATCGAGCCCCAGTCATTCGGACTGACTGAGCTACCCCAAACTCCATCTCTTAATTTACTTAGCCTAAATCTGAGGAGACGTATGCTAATAAATCTTCTCAATAACAAAAGAAATATCATCTATCAGCACTGCATTGTACCCAGCAGCTCCCAGATTCAAATCAAGGCCCAGGAAGCAGCTATCTTGACTGAAGTTGTTTACGGTTGTCCTCAGTCTCTCCACACTAGTGCTAGGATAGTCCATGACTGCTTCCTTTCATATCCTTTACAATTCATTGCTGATTTATCATCCTATCTTTTCATGGTATACAATGAGTTACTGTCATTATTATATTAATACAAAATTATAAACAGATACAACCCTCTTATGCATTTTTTTGAACCAATTCCATGAATCAGAGTTATTATCGAGAGACTGATAGTTTCTCAGCTGATCACAAATTACCCTTCCTTTTATGGAGAACAATGGTCCATTACCGTGATCACAAAAGCCTCTCACTAGATTGTGTCTTAGAACTTAGAATTATGACATTCGATTTCTTCAATAATCGTATCCGGTTTAATATTATCCATTCATCTACATCTGGACTTCCCAATGGTCTCTCCCCTTCAGGGTTTCAGAAAAAAAATTTAAGCATTCTCTTCTCATCCATATGTGCTGCATGCAGAGCCATCTTAAATTCATTTATTTAATTACCATAATAATATTTGCGGAAGGACATTAAATTATTAAGCCACAGCTCATAGTAATTTGATGGTGTCGTCAGAATTCAAGCCGTTTTTCACTTTTCCTGATTTCAGCGGCCGTGATCACGCAGTTCTGAAAACAAGGAAATTTTACAGGAATTGGAACCGGTTATTCCCCACTGCGTCCAAATTCCCCTCCAGTACGACTAATAACGAATTGCGGTTCCGTCATTACGTAAACGGACCTGTACCGGAGGAAGACGCCCAAGGACAGATTCATCTTCTTCTTCGAAATGTCGATATTGATCTTCTGGGCAGTAACTTCGTATAAAAATTTGTAAGCAGATACAAACGTCTCGATAAAACATACTGCCTCTATCTTCAGGTCTGAAAATAGGGCCTGTATGTTTTTTTTTCTTCTGAAATGTTAGTATCCACACGGCGACACAACCCAGAGGACTTCCATTTGGGTTTCATGAACAATGTTTCTTGGCAATACCAGAGTGCTATAAAGCGTTTTACGTTTAAGCAATGAGAATATTAGTTCCGCCATATCTATCTGCACGTAACAATACGAGGATCTATAGAACGTACTTTGTTTAAATCTGATTATTTGGAGGTTTTACCAAGAGTCATCAAGAAATTTAAAAAATCTGTTAGAATCGGAAAATAATGAGTACCTGCACGCATTTCTGCGATCATCTGCAGCGAAATTCGATACATGTTTATCGGAACGAAAAAAATTTCGAGTAAAAGTTGCTTCGAAAAATGTAATGCAATTTATGCAGAATACAGTTTTTCTTGAGTGCTCCACGTTTTCGTTATGACTCGAAAGCCTTTGCACTAATCTGGATATAATCATGAAAAGCTGATTCTTGCTTATCCGTCCCGTAACATCGTGCGATCTGGTAGAAATTTACCAACATCTCAGAGATATTGTAGGTGCGTCATATTGTGATTTATTTAAATAGTATTAAAAATATATTAAAATTGGCCGTCAATCACAATATAAGATAATTAAAAGATTAAAA